GTATTCATTCATTCAGGCACATTCTGATTCATTACGGCAGTTCCATGCGGTGGAGGTATTCTCATGCAGCTTACAATCTAGATGGGGGAGACAGACCATGAACACAGTAAACACAATGAGCAAATTCATTCAGCAACTTAAAAGGAGTTGTGTGCTATGGAGAAATAGATTCGGGTAAAAGGAATCGGGGGCACAAGTGGCAATTTCTAACAGATGGGTTAGGACACACATCATTGGAAAGCTAACATCTGAGCAAAGAGTTGGGGGAGGACAGGGAGGTTGTTGGCGATGTGGATTGCTGGGTGGACAAGTCCTTCAGGCTCTGGACCACCAGACCACTTGCCCAGGGCCCCTGAGGTGTTAAGTCTGGACTTGTCTCTCCTCATATCCAACTGGCATTGGAGAGGAAGATGCAGAGGCTCCCCAAACTCAGGCTCTGCTGCTGAACATTTCGGAGTGGCCCTTTGAGCTCTTGACAACCTCCTTCCCCTCAGGGAACCACATCCGCTCGGTGACAGGTATGGACCCCGAAAGGCTGATCAGCCTGCACACACTGGAGCTTCGAGGGAACCAACTGGAAAGCACATTGGGGATCAACCTTCCTTCGCTGAAGAACCTCTTCCTGGTAGCTCCCTGGGCCCGAGGGTGGCTGGTGCAAGGAAGACGGCACTGGGGTTGGGGGGCCAGGAGGCCTGGCTTCTAGTAGACTCAGCTTCTGACTTTATCATCATGCTGATAATTGGCATCATTTACTGAGCCCTTACTTGATGCCGGATACTGTGGTGATGCAAAGTTACAACAAACGAGGTGCTAGCCACCTAGCATCGCTGATAATACCTAATGTGTGGATAACACAGGAACAGTTTGCTTTGATACAGGTAGCAGCATAACGTGCCATAACTGAGGTTCAGACATCAGGCTAAGGAAGGCACTTAAATGTACAGTCATTTAGACTCTTGAGCTTCCTCGTTCCGGGGTGGGGCTGAAGTAATTTCTCCTCAGAAGAGCAGTGGGGCTCTGAGACCTGGGGGTGGGTTAAGGCATCGCCTCCTTAATCAGAGGTGGCTTTGGTGGGATGAGCAGTCAGTGGGAAGTTACTGCTGACCTTTCTCTGGCAGCTTCTCCTGGATTTCTTTACTCTCATTACCGATCTCTACTCCCCTCCTGACCCCTCCTTATCTACCTTTTAGATTTCCTCTTTTTGCTGCATCTCTTTCTGACTTCTCTTCCTTCCCTATTCCTCTCCCCTCTCCCAATATATCTACTGTATCCTGGAATCTAGGCCCAGAATATGTTGAAGAAGGTGGAAGGCTTGGAGCACCTAAAGAATCTCACTACCTTGCATCTTAGAGACAACCAGATTGACACTCTGAGTGGCTTCTCCGAGGGAATGAAATCACTGCAGTACCTCAACCTGAGGTATGCACGCCCTCCAGGCCCCACCATGTTCTTCCTGGTCCCAATCCCCCAATCCTAGCCTGTTCTGAGATTCTCACCTCATCCTCCATCCTGATCCTCATCCCTCCTTTCCTTACTTTTTTCTGCATTCAATCCTAATTATAACGCTGAGATCTTTATAGCCCAAGACCCCCAAATCCTTATGCATTCAACCCACAGTTATTGAGAACGTGCTATATGCCAGCTCTTGTGTTGTGTTTCAGAAACATTTAAAGGCACCAGAGATGGCCCCCGTTCTCAAGGGACACAGTCTGGCTCCCACCCTATGTTTTGTTTCTATTCCATATAAGTGTCTACTCTGCTTCTCCATCTTCTGGACCCCAATTCCCCTTCCCATTTCCTGCCTCTCTTATCCTGATCCCCACCTGTAAGGCTCCTTTACTTACATAAAACACAAGATGTGCTCAGATGTGAGCAGATAATATTTGAAGGAAATCTCTAGATAGAAAAGCACTCAGGATCAGAGATTTTCTCTCAGCAATTCTTGTCTGATGGAGGATTTTATGTGTGTTTCATTAAGCAAAGATATAAGAAAACTGCCTCCTTAGTCAACAAGGCCTCTTTAGTCAATACTGGCAATGGAGCCAGGCAGCATGGTTCAGTGGTTGAGCATCAACCGATGAACCAGGAAGTCACTATTTGATTCCTAGGTTCTTGGGGTTGATTCCTGGTCAGGGCACATGCCCAGGTTGTGGGCTTGATCCTTGATCCCCAGTAGGGGGTATGCAGAAGGCAGCCAATCAATGATTCTCTCTCACCATTTATATTTATAATAATAATAATAATAATATTTAAATATATAAATATATATTTGTAAAATATATATTTATATATATTTATATTTATAAAAAGGACACACACACACAAAGACTGGCAATGGAAACAGAATCTCCAAGTAGGAGAGATGGTTGAACCCCAACTCCAGCTTTAATTCATGGAGCAGTCTCTTGCTAATTAGCTCTGCCACATTGGCCTGGGAGGGTGGAGGGGCTTCTGTCTTCCTGCTAATAGCCTGGGCAGGGAGAGTGGACCCTTTTCCGTGGCTGTTCACTGGGGAGGTTTGGAAGTAAGAGTAGTGGAGCTGCATTGTCTCAGTGACTAGGAGGTGCCTCTGGGGCCAAAGATGCTCAACCTCCTGCAATGCACAGGGCAGTCCAGCACGAAGTGCATGCAGCGCCCCAGTGAGACATAGGGCGGCGGCGTGAGGTTCAGCACCTCCACTGAGATAAAGCGGAGACATTTAAACCTGATTTCATACAGGCTTGAAGCAAACACATGAAAATAGCTGTATGAGGAGGCATATTAGGAGATGGAGCTTGTTCTTTAGGCTGGGAGGCCCCAGCCCAGTGGTCGGCAAACTCATTAGTCAACAGAGCCAAGTATCAACAGTACTTCTTCAAAATAGACTCGCCCAGGCCGAAAACCGACTTCTGTGCATGGGCCATGGAGTTTCAGTCGCACTGTACGTGCGCGCCCACACATGGTATTTTCTGGAAGAGCCACACTCAAGGGGCCAAAGAGCCGCATGTGGCTCGCGAGCCGCAGTTTGCCGACCAGGGCCCCAGCCCATCCTTACCTCTAGGTTCCTTCCAGCGGAGAGCACGACGCAGCACTCACTACCTTGAGCGTCAATCCCAGGTCCTTTTTCTCTGCCCCAAGTCCTTCTAACCTCTGAGTGGGTGTAATTGACACAGAATTCTGTTCCTCCAAGGGAGATGCCCCCCTCCTCCCCAACTACCAGACCGGGTCGTGACCTAGCTTTGCTGCTCCAGAAGGATAAATAGGACACATTGCGGAATAGAATATGGCACTTAGGGATTCCTTGAAGGACAGAAGCAGGACAGGAGTAGAGCTGGACAGCAGCCCTGCAGCAAATCTGGCAATGCGTGGCAGGCCAGTCTGCAAGAGGCAGTGTTTCTGGGGAAGCTGGAGCCCATGGGAGACTCCCCCAGAGGCTCCATTCCTGGCAGCTCGCCTCCAAAGTCATTATTCCCACGAACCCCTCCTGACTGCACCCACAGGGCCAACATGGTATCCAACCTGCAGGAGCTTGCCAAGCTTCAGAACCTGCCCAAGCTCCGGGCCTTGGTGCTGCTGGACAACCCGTGTACAGACGAGAGTGACTACCGCCAGGAGGCCCTGGTGCATATACCACAACTGGAACGCCTGGACAAGGAATTCTTTGAGGAGGAGGACCGGGCCGAGGCCAATGAGATTCGTCAGAGGATGAAGGAGGAGCAGGAGCAGGATGCTGAGACTGAGCAAGACACAGGGCCGGACCAGCCATAGACGTAGCAGCGGTTCTTCTCGTCTTCGTCTTCCCTGATAGTAAGAAAGCCAGCAGGGAGGCAGGAAGAGGAGGCCAGGGGGCCTGGCACTTAGGGAGAGAGCAAAGCTGCTGTGGGAGGAGGTGGGCGAGGAAGGGATTAGGCAGAGAGAACCCTTGGAGAGATGAGGGTTAGGGGTCAGGGGTGTCTCGGGGTGAGGAGGAAAGACCAGCAGGGCCTAGGAGGAGCTGAGGAAAGGCTTAGGAGATACATCAGGAAGCCAGAAGAGTCAGTGAGAAGAACTGGGGTGGCAGGCATAGCTGCTGGTGTGGGGTGGCAGCCATACCTGAGCTAGAATGAAGATCAGCTGTGAAGGCCAGGTCGGCAGCAAGGTGGTGGTGGGAGGGAGGTGGCTGGTGGTGTATGAGGAATGCAGCTGGGCCTAGGAGAGAAGGCAAGAGAGAGAGAGCCTGCACTAAAAATCAGAAATTAAACATAACGGGACTCCGGGTAGGGGGAAGAAAGGAGGCCAGGGGAGGCAGCCGGGGCTGGGGAGGTGAGTCCAGGGAAGTGGAGCAGCGGCACATTTCAGATGGGGCAGAGGCAGCAGTGGGAATGCAGTCGGGCCCAGAGGGTTTACTCTGTCCCTTCCTCCAGGGGATCAAAGACACTGGCTCCCAGACCTGAGGTTGGCAGGGTCCACCACCGGCACGCCCGCCCCATCCGGAGACAGAGCTGACCTCTCAGCCCCGACCTGCGGGTTCATCACAGCCTGCCGCCCAGGCTCTGTGTGGGCACCTGGGCAGAGGGGTGGGTGGGCTCGAGCGCTGCCTGGAGCCTAGAAGTGGGCATCCTTCAGGCAGATCCGGTAGCCTGCGGAGACGGGCTGGGGTGTGTAGGAACAGCTCGGTTTCGAATAAAGAGATATTTTGATACTTTTGTGTCTGACCGGGTACGGGAGCGTCTATCGCGGGCTTTCCTGGCTGTGGCTGGCCTCGGGGATCAGATTACTCTCTCCGAGGCTGTGCGGGTTACTTTCCGGGGGGCCGGGTCGTGGGCAGCAGCGTGCGTGGGCGCTGGAAAAGGCAGGCTCTGGGTCGCCCCCGTCCCTCCCGCATCACTTTCCCCCTCCCACCCCCCCCACTACACCCCCACCGGCCCCCCACCCGCACTCCTACAGGCGCCTCCGCCCACGGCTCCTGACTCACGGGGGCTCTGGGTCACATGCGCCCGCCCGGCCCTATCGGCGCCTCCCCCCTCCGCACCCCCCGCCCGCCGCCCGCAGCCCGGGAGCCGCAGTCGCCGCCGCCACTCCCGCTCCCTCTGCGCCGCTGCCGCCGCCGCCACCGCCACCGCCACCGCCACCGCCACAGGCTGAGTCTGCAGCCCCGAGGTGAAGCCCTGCCCGGCCCCTGCGCCCCTCTGGCCTGTCCCCCGGCCCCTGTCCCCCCTGCCCTGCTCCCCCGGCCCGCGCGCATCTCTCCCCGGGCGCTGCGCACCTGCTCCGTCACCCGCGCCTCCCGGCACCCCCCTCCCCGCCTTCCCGGACCGCTCCGCTCCGTTTCTGGCCGTCGCCCCCTTCTCATTTGGGCGCCAGCCCTTCTGCACCCTGGCCTGTCCCGCATCACCTCCGGTCCTGTGGGCATTAGGTCGGGCTCTCTTCCCCGCCCCGTGCATTTTCATCCTGCCACGTCCCCTCGGCTTTGCATCTGAGGGGTGTCTTCTCTCACCCTTCCGCAGCAGCCTCTAGAGCAGCGGTTCTCAACCTTCCTAATGCCGCGGCCCTTTAATACAGTTCCTCATGTTGTGGGACCCCCAACCATAAAATTATTTTCGTTGCTACTTCATAACTGTAATGTTGCTACTGTTATGAATCGTAATGTAAATATCTGATATGCAGGATGTATTTTCATTGTTACAAATTGAACATAATTAAAGCATAGTGATTAATCACAAAAACAATATGTAATTATATATGTTTTCCGATGGTCTTAGGCGACCCCTGTGAAAGGGTCGTTCGACCCCCAAAGGGGTCGCGACCCACAGGTTGAGAACCGCTGCTCTAGAGTCTAGGCTCCCTCCCCCCCCCCCCCCCCCCCCCACACACACACACTGAGCCCCTTCGGCCGCCCAGGGCTGGGAGGGGAGAATTTGTCTAGGGGCGGCTGGAGGAAGGGCCCAGCCCTGCTCACCCCTCGGGTCTCTCCTCCTCCTCCCTCCCCGCTGCGACCCCCAGGATGGAGGGCCTTTCCTAGGACCCTCTCTCCACTGCACATCTGTGGGAGAGGAGGGACGTACATTCGGGGGAGAGTGGGACCTGGGCGTGGGGCTGGGGTGTTAAGTTGGGGGGACAGGCTGTGAATGCAGGCTGCAGCTGTGCAGACTACCCATCCTTTTCTTGGCTCCAAGGAGAAAGGCAAGCCTGGCGGCCATTCCTCTCTGAGGAGGTCTGGGCGAACCCCACCAGCCGGCTGCCCAAGCTGCTGAGGGGACGAGGGAACCACTGCCCCCCCCCCCCCCACTGCGGTGTCCTCCTGCCTCGGAGCTGGATCTCACCCCGCCCCGCACTGCAGTGACCTCCCCTTCCTCACTGCAGTGACCTTCTCCTGTCCCCCTGGAAGGGGTGGGGGAATCCCTTCTACAGCCCGTGGTAGCGGCCTGCTCCTCCCCACCCCCACCCACTGCAGTAACCTCTTTCCCATCCTCCTAGCCTCTGGCCCCTCCCACGATCTCAGGCTCCACCCCTCTAAGCCTCTTACCTTTCTCCTTACTTCCCTTCCACCCAAGGAGATCCCAGCCATCATGTCGATAACGAAGATCTGGGCCCGGGAGATCTTGGACTCCCGTGGGAACCCCACTGTGGAGGTGGATCTCTACACTGCCAGAGGTACTGAGCTGGCCCGGACCGAGCCCCGCCCTCCACCCGACCCCCACCCCGACCCCCACCCCGACCCCCACCCCGACCCCTCAGTGCTGGGTTCGCCCTGGCCTGGGAGGGGAAGCTTCCTTGATTCCCAACAGGGATGGGGTGCTGGGTCAGGCTCTTGGCCTGGATTGTGGGGGTTGGATGCTGTTGTCCAGGGGCGCCAGGATAGGCAGGCCTCCGTGTTCTAGTTTAGTGTATGACACATGCCCTGCCTCTGCATGTTTGTGTATGCACCTGTGTGTGAGCATATGAGTGCATAACTTCATTTCTCTGGGTTCCTGCTGGTGCATGTGGGAACTCAGATGGGTGGATAAGGAGGCCCTTGCTTGTGTGTGTGTGTGTGTGTGTGTGTGTGTGTGTGTGTGTGTGTTAGGGAGCAGTGTGTATATGTGTGTATTAGAAAGCAGTGTGTATATATGTGGGTGTATTAGGGAGCTGTGTGTGTGTATTAGGAAGCAGTGTATTAGGGAGCTGTGTGTGTATTAGGAATAGTGTGTGTGTATTAGGAGCAGTGTGTATTATGTATGTATGTATTAGGGAGCAGTGTGTGTGTGTGTGTGTATTGGGAATAGTGTGTGTGTATTAGGGAGCAGTGTGTGTGTGTGTGTGTGTGTGTGTTGGGAATAGTGTGTGTGTATTAGGGAGCTGTGTGTGTGAGAGAGTGTCTGTGTGTGTATTAGGGAGCAGTGTGTGTATTAGGAAGTAGTTATGTATTAGGGAGCTGTGTGTATCTCTGTGTGTATTAAGAATAGTGTGTGGCCCTAACCAGTTTGGCTCAGTGGATGGAGCATCGGCCTGCGGACTCAAGGGTCCCAGGTTTGATTCTGGTCAGGGGCATGTACCTTGGTTGCGGGCACATCCCCAGTGGGGAGTGTGCAGGAGGCAGCTGATCGATGTTTCTCTCTCATCGATGTTTCTGATTCTATCCCTCTCCCTCCCTCTCTGTAAAAAATCAATAAAATATATTTTTAAAAAAAGAATAGTGTGTGTGTATTAGGGAGCAGTGTGTATTGTGTGTGTTAGGAGCAGTGTGTATATATGTGGGTGTATAAGGGAGGTGTGTGTGTGTGTGTGTTAGCAGTGTGTATATATGTGGGTGTATAAGGGAGGTGTGTGTGTGTGTGTTAGCAGTGTGTATATATGTGGGTGTATAAGGGAGGTGTGTGTGTGTGTGTGTTAGCAGTGTGTATATATGTGGGTGTATAAGGGAGGTGTGTGTGTGTGTGTGTGTGTTAGCAGTGTGTATATATGTGGGTGTATAAGGGAGGTGTGTGTGTGTGTGTGTGTGTTAGGAGCAGTGTGTATATATGTGGTTGTATAAGGGAGGTGTGTGTGTGTGTGTGTGTGTGTGTGTGTGTTAGCAGTGTGTATATATGTGGGTGTATAAGGGAGGTGTGTGTGTGTGTGTGTGTGTTAGCAGTGTGTATATATGTGGGTGTATAAGGGAGGTGTGTGTGTGTGTGTGTGTGTTAGGAGCAGTGTGTATATATGTGGGTGTATAAGGGAGGTGTGTGTGTGTGTGTGTTAGCAGTGTGTATATATGTGGGTGTATAAGGGAGGTGTGTGTGTGTGTGTGTGTGTGTGTGTGTGTTAGCAGTGTGTATATATGTGGGTGTATAAGGGAGGTGTGTGTGTGTGTGTGTGTGTGTGTGTGTGTGTGTGTGTGTGTTAGGAGCAGTGTGTATATATGTGGGTGTATAAGGGAGGTGTGTGTGTGTGTTAGGAGCAGTGTGTATATATGTGGGTGTATAAGGAAGGTGTGTGTGTGTGTGTGTGTGTGTGTGTGTGTGTGTGTGTATTAGGGAGCACTGTCGGGGAAGGGCTGGATGTGGCAGGCAGGAGTTTAGAGCTGGAGCCTAAAGGGATCTCTGGTCCCTGGTGTCTTTCTCTCTTCCTCCTCACTCCATGCTCCTCTCCCAGGTCTTTTCAGGGCCGCAGTGCCCAGTGGAGCCTCCACTGGGATTTACGAAGCCCTGGAGCTAAGGGATGGGGACAAACAGCGTTACTTAGGCAAAGGTGAGGCCTTCTCTCTTTCCCAAGCTCGCCCACCCCTCAGCTTTATATTCCGACCTCACACCAGTCCCCAAGCCTCTTCTTGCACCCCCCCTTTCCCTCTGGTCCCTCCTGGCCTGACCCAGCCTGGCCTCTTTGCCTCTCCCCAGGTGTCCTGAAGGCCGTGGACCACATCAACACCACCATTGCACCAGCCCTCATCAGCTCAGTGAGGCTCACTCTTTGCTGGGGATGGCAGGACCAGGGTCCTAGAAGGAATCTGGGCCAGGGGAGAAGCGGGATGTGTGTGTGTGTGGGGAGGCCCACCTCTTGGGAATCATGGTTACTAAGGGAAGGTGGGAAGATGACCCCTTACTGTCCTCTGCTCCCGTGGGGGCTCAGGTCCCCTGATCCAGACAGGCTGCTGTCGCAGGAACGTGGTTGGACCCTGGCTGGCTGTGAGCCTGTGTGAAGGGGGGCTCTGTGTCTTAGGGCCCAGCCTCCATTCTGGCCCTGGGTGATGGTGGCTCTGCCTGCAGGGTCTCTCTGTGGTGGAGCAGGAGAAGCTGGACAACCTGATGCTGGAGTTGGATGGGACAGAGAACAAATGTAAGCAGGGGCCGGGAGAAAGTGGGGAGGCCGAGTGTGGGGAGGTGTGGAGCAGAGAGAACTGAAGGGGCCAGCGCTGTGGGAGCTTCCTGAGGATGGACTTTTCATCCTACCCCCAAAATCAAAGCAGGAGAAGATGAGTTTAACTGCAGTTGGTGTGTGTGTGTGTGTGTGTGTGTGTGTGTGTGTGTGTGTGACATTAGACCATTAGACCAAGGAAGAACTTCTTTGCAGCATAAAGGGGAGAGAGTTGACATGAGATAGTCTGATCTTGGGGTGGTTAGAAATAGACGCAGCTCTCTGCCCTTTCCTGTCACCTCATCCCCAGCTCCCCCGCTATTTCAGGAGAGAATGGACTAGATGTTGCGCAGAGGAGGGAGGAGGGGGGTCTCCTCTATTGCCTCCTTTGGGGAGTATAGGTGATGTCGGGCTAGAAGAGGAAGGAGACATTTTTGCTTAGTGCCTTCTTCTGTCATCTCCCAGCCAAGTTTGGGGCGAATGCCATCCTGGGTGTGTCCTTGGCCGTGTGTAAGGCAGGGGCAGCCGAGCGGGAATTGCCACTATATCGCCACATTGCTCAGCTGGCTGGGAACTCAGACCTCATCCTGCCTGTGCCGGTGAGCCCCCCGCCATGCCTGTACCTCTCCCAGGGGTGGGGCCCAGGGGAGCATGAAACCTTGTGAAGACTGATGGGAGGACAGGGAATTGGGGTAGCTAAAGAGAGAGGATGGGGACATGAGACTCGGAGTCTGGGAAGCTGGGAGGGAATTTGGGATCTTGGGTGGATGCTCCCAGGAGCAGAAAGGAAAATGCTCGGTGACTATCTGTCCTGTGGCTCCCAGGCCTTCAACGTGATCAATGGTGGCTCCCATGCTGGGAACAAGCTGGCCATGCAGGAGTTTATGATCCTTCCCGTGGGTGCCGAGAGCTTTCGTGATGCCATGCAACTTGGGGCGGAGGTCTACCACACGCTCAAGGGGGTCATCAAGGACAAGTATGGCAAGGATGCCACCAATGTGGGAGATGAAGGCGGCTTTGCCCCCAACATCCTGGAGAACAGTGAGGGTAAGACCAGGATCCCCACTCCCAGCTCTGAGTCTCACTTCATCCTGGGCCATTGGGAAGGGCCACATAATTCCCCACGTCCTGAGGAGTGTGGGTGGTGGTCCTTGACTCCTGCTAGCTCCAGAGGGCCTGACAGATTCACATGCAGGCTGGAAGAGCAGTCCTACCTGCCCAGCCAGGTTCCTTCGCGACTGTAAGTTCTCGCCGGAGCCCCTGGAAGTGCTGGACGGTGGTCTAGGTCTCCTGTGGGATCCATGCCAGCCTTTAACTCCATAGGTTCTCAGTTCGTTGAGATATACGAAACTCTAGGAAACCTATTCTAAATCTATCCCACTCTCACCCCAACTTCGTAGGCCTTGAGGATCTCTAACTTTTTTCTGCCCTGGGAGAAACCGTATAGTGAATAGAAACAAAACCCAAAACTGGTAGTGAAGAGTTAAGGTTCTGAGGCCAAAACTGCCTGCCCTTGAACCTTGACTTGAAGGCTTACTGGCTGGCGATGTTTCTTACTTATTTTGTCCATGCTTTGTCTTTAAAAAAATATTTTTATTGATTTCAGAGAGGAAGGGAAAGGGTTAGAGAGAAACATTAATGATGAGAGAATCATTGATCAGCTGCCTCCTGCATGCCCCCTACTGGGGATCCAGCTGGCAACCTGGGCATGTGCCCAGACCTGGAATGGAACCTAGGTCGACGCTCAACCATTGAGCAACACCGGCCAGGCCATGCTCTGTCTTTCTTATCTGTAACAGGGGAACACTAATAACAGTATCTACTTCTTAGCATCGTTGTGAGGATTAAATGAGATCATATATGTAAAGTGCACAGTTAGCCCTCAAAAAATGATAGCTATTTAAAAACACTGTTATTAACCGAAGGCATCCCCTGCCTTCCTGGGAGATGGCCTGCTCTTCCCAGACCTGGAGATAACCCTGACCAGAACCTTAGCCAGACTCCTCCATAGCAAGTGCTCTACCACGGCCCCTAATTTCTTCCCCTCTCTCCTTCCTCCTTGTCTGCCCTTCCTGCTAATAATCTCGCTGTGTTTCATCCCCAGCCTTGGAGCTGGTGAAGGAAGCCATTGACAAGGCTGGCTACACGGAAAAAATTGTCATTGGCATGGATGTCGCTGCCTCAGAGTTTTATCGTGATGGCAAATATGACTTGGATTTCAAGTCTCCTGCTGACCCTTCCCGATACATCACTGGGGACCAGCTGGGGTCCCTCTACCAGGACTTTGTCAGGGACTATCCTGGTGAGAGCAAGGCGGGGTATGGAAGAGAGTGCAGGGGGCGGGCAGCAGGACCTTATGGGATGCTACCCCAGGTGCCAGGTGCAGGTACCCTAAGAAGAGACCGAGAGCCAGGGGTGGGGTGAAGTCTCCTGCAGAGCCTGGGCTTTGTATGGAGTACATGTGCAGGGCCCTGCGATGAATTTGTTCCATCTGCCTCAGCTCCTGATTAAGGGCATGTGCTCTGAAGCTACTGGGGTCATGGGGAAGGCTTTGGAAGAAACCAGGGATGGTGAGGTGACTGGACCTGGCAGGGAACCAGCCGTTTCAGTGTTTTTGATAGATAAAATTGTGGATGCTGAATGGAGCTGGAAGTGATGTGAGAATAGAAGGCTGATGAGGAACTGAATTATCCTTCAGTTCTACCAGAGCTTTAGATATAAATTGCAGAATGAAGGATTTTTATTAGTAATGAGGAAGGGCTTCCTGGTAGTGAAAATGTGAAAATGCAGATAGGTTGTGAGAAAGATTCGGAACCCTTGTGTTTTGAAAGTTTATGAATGAATCAAGGTAAGACTCAGTTAGGGCAGGCTTATTTCAGGGATGGGGGAAGCCAGGAGGAGCAGCTCAGTTAGCCAGGGGGTCTGGCCATTTCAGGAAATCAAAGTGTGTGTGTGTGTGTGGGGGGTTCCTGCCTGGTGCAGAACCCCAGAGAAGATCAACAGCCCCTTCACTCCTCTCCCTCAGTGGTCTCCATTGAGGACCCCTTTGACCAGGATGACTGGGCTGCCTGGTCGAAGTTCACGGCCAATGTAGGGATACAGATTGTGGGTGATGACCTGACGGTGACCAACCCAAAGCGTATCGAGCGGGCACTGGAAGAAAAGGCCTGCAACTGCCTGCTGCTCAAGGTCAACCAGATCGGTTCAGTCACTGAAGCTATCCAAGCGTGAGTGCCTCCTGGTTCTCTCCTGCTCAGCCCTTCTGAGGACCCTCTTGAAGGGCTCTACGCCCACAGATGCTGAAGAAAGCAGGGAACCTAGAGTCACCTTTATAGCCCTCAGTTCTGCTCCCTCTGGGTTCCGAACAGATTCTCTGCTTCCCTCCCAGACAACTTCCCTCCACATGTTTCTTAACATAGACCAACGTTGGGGCTGGGAAGAGAGTGCCCAGTGTGAGGGGCTGGGGGTCAATGCTGGTGTATGGATACAGGTGCAAGCTGGCCCAGGAGAACGGCTGGGGGGTCATGGTGAGTCATCGCTCAGGGGAGACTGAGGACACCTTCATCGCAGACCTGGTGGTGGGGCTGTGCACAGGCCAGGTGAGTGCAAGGGAGATCTTTGTGCAATTGGTGGGTTCTAGGCTCAGGTGGGTCTCTCCTTCCAGGTGTTTGAGGGTGTCGGGGGAATTTCAAGGGAGTGTACGTTTCCTTTAAAGAAATGAAGGGGCAGCCACTGAGCTGCTTATCTTTCCTGCTGTTTCAGATCAAGACTGGGGCCCCGTGCCGTTCTGAGCGTCTGGCTAAGTACAACCAGCTCATGAGGTGAGGGAGCCTGGGGAATGGGAGCCCGGGGCTCAAGGTTAAAAGCTCTGTTTGCCCACCGTTCCATATCCAGAGAAGAGTTCTGAAGGACGGGTTGAGTAATGGCCTGATGGATGGATCCCACAGGTCACGTGGGAGAGCCAGGGAAGGCCCACACTTGGGCCAGGGCACAGGAGCGGGTGGTGTGAGGGGCTTGGAGACTGAGGACCTCCTGCTCCCCTGACGTTTCCTTTCTGGCTCATTTCTCTCAGAATTGAGGAAGAGCTGGGAGACGAAGCTCGCTTTGCCGGACACAATTTCCGCAATCCCAGCGTGCTGTGATCCCTCTACTCTCCTGGAGACTTGGACCCCCTCCACCCTCCTGGAACCCCTTCCTGTCCTGCTCTGTGATACTTCACCCCAGACACCCCAGCTGACCTGCCGCACGGCTCCTGGGCTTGTCCTACCCCTGCTGTCTCTACTCTCCCGCTCTGGGTTTCACACTCTTCACTTCTCCCTTCCTTTTCTCTCTCCTCAAAGACTGGCCACAGGACTGAGGATTATAAGGGGGTCCGTGGAAGAATGATCAGGGTCTGTGACAGGGGCATCAGGGTTGGCTGCTGAGGTGTTCAGGGAGGGGCCCTGGGTCACTTGCACTTTGCACCTGTTCCATGTGTTTTCCATGTTGCAGATGAGCCAGGCACTACATGGTGCTGAGGTGGAGGGAGGTGCTGGCTGCTGGGCATGCCTGCCCTAAGGTTTTAGTGTGTTATTTATTTATTAATTTATTTTTCACTCATCCTGTTGATTATTCATTTCCTCATGACTCCAGGGCCAAAAACTGGCCTGACTGGAGGGGACTATGTATTTCATATGGCTATAGATTCTGAGATGGTCTGGGATGGAAGTCTTGCTGGAATGCTGAAGGGAACAGAAAAAGGCCTTGCTGGCAGTTCCTTTGTGTGTAGCAACCCTTCACTGAAGCCTGGCTGGGGTCAGAGATGGGGCTGTGCGCCTGGGGACTCTTCCCCGGAACTCTCTTCCCAGCCCTACCTTCCCTGTTCTTTCTCCAGCTGCCCCAGAGCAAGGTCTTGCTCCCACCATGCCATGTTCCACCGTTCCCACCACCTCTGACATTGAAATGAGCACCACCATTAAAGTCTGAATCACAGTGCATTATTGTGTCCGAGGAGTCTGACTGTAGTTCATATGAGGGGAGAGAAGATGGTGAAGCTGGATAGCAGAGCTGGGGAGGGCACAAGAGGAGGAAGACAAATAGAACAAATATGGCCAAGATGATGACATTGCCTTCCCCACCCTAGCCAGGTGAGGGCCACACTGCCCCTGCCTTCTCAGCAGCAAGCTTGGCCCCAGGATCCAGATGAATGATCAGTTCTTAATCTGGTGCAGCAATTCTTCAAATCACCAAAAATGTGTGTATGTGCATTTTGGAGGAAAGGTGGCCACAGTGTTTTCAGATTCCCAAAGAGCCTTGACCAGAGAAGGGATAAATCTGTGAACTAGAGCAGCTCCCATACTGGGCCTCTCCAAACCCAAATCCCGGCTGCTTCGGGGATGGAACAGCATTGCATGGCCACCACTCCCTGCAAGGTGGGGAACGAGGAGGGAAGGATGGTACCAGGGACTGAGGAAAAAGGCCTCCGGTAAACTGGAGATTCCACTCCCCCCAGTTGGGTCAGCCTGCAAGTTGGGTGCCAGTGTGGGGCTGAAGATACACGACAACTCTCCAGCTCCTGCGGAGCCCCAGCACTGAGATGGGAACCCAGGAACCACCCTGGGGGAGAACCCCCTCAGTGCTTTGAACACTAGGGGCTGTGGAAAGCTGTGGCCACTAGAGGGAGGCAAGGTTCCGCAGGACACCGTATGCCCGGCTAAAGGTAGGTGGGAGGAATTTCAAGGTTGTTCCCTCTGTGGGCCTCCCACTCCGTTTCCGAGTTCTGGTCCTGGGATCCCTCTGCCACCCCGCCCAGCTCCAGGACAAGAAGATCCCAGTTCTGCATGGGCAGAACCCATTTCTCGGCCCTGTCCTTCCTGTGTCGCTGACACGTCCTCCATTTGAGTTCAAAGAACTTGCACCCTCTCCTCAGTGCCTCTTCATTTCAGTGCGGGCATCTCATCTTTCCCTTCTCTTCTGAGTCTCCTGGCGCCTTTTCTGTTTCCCTTGGGGCACACTATACTTTTCGCTGGGCCTCTTGGTTTTCTCTGGGGTGCGTTAGACTCATTTTTCCTTAGTAACTCCTAGACTAACCAGGCCTATTCTGGTTGGAGCCACATTGTCTAACCTCTGCCCCCTTTCTCCCTCCTTACTAAGTCACCTTCTCTGCAGCCATGCCCCCTCCTCCCCCAGGTACTGGGTAGATTGAGTTACAGCTAGCTCTGCCTGGGTTTCCCAGGCCCTTCTCTCCACTTTCCCTTTGTGCCGTTGCCTGGAGACCAGTGGGTCCTGGGGGGCTGGGGCCTGAGAGGGAGCTGGGGTGAGGGATGGTGGTGGTGGTGGTGGTGTGTGTGATGCTCCTGAAGCTGAATTGTCAGCCTGGCCCTCAGGTAGGGAAGGATTTGGAGGGTGGAGGCCTTGACTCTCCCCCATCTTCTGTTCCTACCGATGCTTACGTTTTCCTTTCAGGCTTAGATGTGTCACCATCCTCATCCACTCCTTAGTGGTTGAAAAACGAGAGAGAGCTCAGCCTGGAAGGGAATTGGAAAAGGCCTCGGCCAGGATCCAGTGGGAGACTAAACTGAGAGGTGCAGAGAGAGAGGAAATGCAATAGGGAGGGGGATGAGGGGGGGGAGGAGGAGTCTTGGAGCAAAGTTGGGAGGTGGGGAGGAGCAGGAGCTATTCTAGGGTACTGGGAGGGGGGGCAGGCGGTTGGGGGGTGGGGGAGGTTGGCCTTGGCTCTTGAAGGCCCTGAGGAATAAGGAAGGTGGGCATGGGGTGGTGAAGTGTCAACCAATTTAAGAGACAAAAGAGTGGTGTGATTCTCTCCTGGGCCAAGGAAACCTCTTGTTCAGGGTCCCCAGTGCTTTAGAATCCGGTTGGAGCTTTTGGGTATTCCTAGAACTTGGCTGAGCCCGGCCCAAGGAAATACGAGGCAAAATCTACTGAGCTGATACAGAGCCAACCTCCTTCCCAGAAGGCTGGCGGGATCCTGCCGTTCAGGGCCCACCCTTGGCCTCTAGCTGTCCTGGCCTCACACATACCCTACCCCCACCCCAAATCTGGAGAGCTGTTGAGGGCTCCCAATCCAGACTCCAGCCCCAGCTCTTCCTGTTTCCCAGCCTGCCTCCCTCCCATTCTCTGGCAATCTCAGCTGCCAAAATCCAACCAGTGTCTTGGTGTCCTTTGTCCTGGGAGATGTTGCTGCTTGGTGTGGGGCAGGGAGCCAGCCCAGAAGAAGACACTGGTGGTGGGCTGCTGGGGTGCTGCAGGCGTGGAGGCTGAAGACTGGGAAGGCTGGCAGTGCGGAGGCTGCCTGGGGAACAGTGTGGGAGAAGAAAGAGCCTCCGGCCGGTGGCGGGGCTTGTCTCCACATTAGAATGATTGGGATTAGGGAACCGGGGCACCTAGGGATTTGGCTCAGTTTTGAGACTAATCCTTACCCCATCCCTTCCCTGGGGCCCAAAGTCCCAGTGATGACTTCAAAGGAGACACCACTAGACAGAGGGCCTGAGGATGGTGGCCCACTCCTATGAATTAATCTCTTCCCTACACCAGAGCTGCCCTCCCCGTTCCTATCATTTCCTTCTCCTTTCCCTTCCACTGTCTTCTGCATCACTGACCTTCCCTCTTCCATACCCACCACCAAAGGCCTTGTTTATCTTACCTGCCCTTCCAATCCTCATGCCCCTCCATTCTATCTACCTGGTCTTGCCAACCAAAATCCTCAGCTCTCTTGGAAGCCCTCCACCCCCAGGACCCAGCCATCCCTGTGGCCCACCCTCCTTTCCCACCCAGCACCCCTAGAAAATGCGCCTGGCCCCGCCTCCGTCATCTCTAAGGTTTCTCATGCATTCCTTTCTCCGAGCTGACATCTCTGAACTTGTCTCTCCATCATCCACAAATTCTTGTTTCCTATTCTTTTCCCAACCACAGTCACCCCCAAACTCTGCTCTCTTCCAGAAACCCCGTCCTCCTACTTGTCTCCATTTCTTCCCACCGTATGGCCCCGAACTCCCATCCCATTCTCGCAGGATCGCCTCCCCAACCTCCCCCCAGCTTCTTTCTTCTCGTCACACCCTCCCTGCCCCGCAGCCCCCGCGGCTCAGCTTCCCGGTCCCCCCGTCACCCCTCTGCCTCCCCACCTCCCGCCCACCTCGGCCACGGCCCCTGGGCGCCCAAACTTCTGCCTCCCGCAAAGCCACCCCGACAACCACAGCCCCTCCCTCCCCGCCTCCCCGGTGCCAAGGCCCGCAGGCGCCCCACATTCCGCCCCGGCGACCCCACCCCCCCGCACCCGGGGCCCCTCCGGCCTCGGTCTGGGCCAACTCGCTCGGCGCCTCCCCCGCTCCTCCCCCCCTCGCCGCGCGCCGCGCTCCCTCCCCCGCCCGCCCGCCCGCCCGCCCGCCCGCGGCTCCCTCCCGGCCCCTCTCCCGATTCCTCCGCGCTCCCTCCCCTCCTCCCGCTCCCATCCCCCTCCGCGCCCTCCCTCCGCCGCCGGCCGCTTTCCTGTGCGAGTCGCCGGACGCGCCGCCCAGCTCGCCCGCAGCCCGGCGTCGGGCCGGGGCCAGCGGCCAGGGGCCAGGACTGTCTCGGGGGCCCGCCGGCCGGGGAGGGTCCGAGGGGCCCGGGGACGGCGCCGGGAAGGGGCGGGGCCGCGGCGGAGGCCTCCTCGCGGCCGGGGACGGCGCGGGCCGGGCGCGGGCGGCGGGCGAGGCGGCGGCGCGTAGCCGAGCGGAGGGCCGGCCGGGCCGCGGGGGCGAGCAGCGCGGCTGGCGTTCCGGGCGGCGGGGGCCGGGGGGGGACTGAGCGAAGCCGGTCGGGGTGAGCCGGGGGGAGCGGCCGGGCCTGCGGGGGGAGGGGGGATGGGGGCCGCCCTCCGAGAGGGTCGGGGCCGCCGCCGCCGCCGTCGCGGCGGCGACTGAAGCGGGAAGAGGAGCGGGGGGCGGGGAGCGGCCGCCGCCCCCCGTCGGCGCCGGAGCCCCGGATCCTGCTCGGAACCAGCCGGCCGTCCCGCGCTACCGCCAGGTAAGAGCTGCCGCCGGGCCGGGGCACGCCCGGGTTCGGGCCCCGCTCCCCACCCCCACCTCCCGGCCCCCTCCCGCCGCCGCCTCCATTTGTTCTGTTTCCGATCGGGTCCCCCCGCGGCGGGCGCTGCCCGGCCTGAGGCTGGGGGGTCCGAGGGGCCGCAGTGCCCGGCGGACCGGGCAGGTGGGGTGGGAGGGTCTCAGGAGGAGGGTGATGGGGTAGCGGGACCCCGGACCGAAGAGGAACCGGGGTGGGGGGTTTGGGGGATGAGGGATGCCCGTGAGGGGCTTTGGGGCGAAGCGGAAAGGAATGGACGGGGCCGCGAGGTGGGCGCCAGGTCCCCGGGAGCAGCCCGGAGGCCCAGGCCCGGGTTCGGAGCCGGGTGGGGTGGTGGGCGCGCAGGGGTGGGAGACGGGGAAGGGAAGGGGTGGGGTGGGGTGCGGTGGGAAAGGGGGGGGATTGTGGCTGTGAGGGGAGAGCGCAGCCTGCGGAAGGCCCAGGAGGGGTGCACCTTGGTGCCCCCCCAGGTGTTCCTGCGTGGAATTGGGAAGGCAGTGAGTGCCTTTGTGATTCCGTTTTCTTTCCCCCATGTCAGGTCACCTCTGTCCTTTTTTTTTCTCCTCCCAGTTTCAGGCATAGTTACTTCTTGGCGAGGAGCATATTGGGGTCCAGTAGTGTGGGTGACCCTAAAACTAACGGAGAGAGGGACACTGACGGGAGCGTGGAAACCAGAGAATTGGGACATGTAGGCACTGGAGACGAGGTGTCCCCTCCCCTTCACATCCAGGGCCTCCCGGGCCCCTCCAGCCGCGGTCTCCCGGCGGCCCCTCCATCCACGGTCTCCCGGCGGGCGGGCTGCCTTCAGGACGGTTTGAGCCCTCGAATTCCCTTTGTGCAGGGCTCGCTGTGACCGGGGTGGACTCGGAAGCTCTCTTCCCTGAGGGGACCGTCGAGGAGTAGGAGTTGCTTTGGCAACTGCAGGGGGAGTGGCTGGCAGATGGACCCCTGAGATGGACTCTTGAGGGGCAGGTTCTGTCATTGTGTTGCCATGGCAACGATCCGCTGGGATGTCCAGAAGGTGGGGGCTCAGCGTGTCGATTGGACCTCAGCCTTTGGCTATGTCCTCGGACTGTGGTCTGGGTTCGGGAGACGGTTTCTAGTGTTGCTGGTGGGTGGGCTTTCCTTCCATCTCGACGTTCACGGTGTTTCTCCAAGCCCCTCCCCGTAGGCCTGGTGGGAGCCTGGGAATGCTCTGTTCACGGGACCATCTTTTGGTAGTTTTTTCTGACCCTCTCTCATTTTTAGGGACTTTTTGTATGCAGGAGTCTTTTTGCTTCTTTGCACTGATATTCTTCCATTTTCTTAAGCGTGAGTCTTCCTCCCCAATCAGTCTTTGCCTCTTTTGACACAGTGGCCCCTTTCCTCAGCGAACCTTGGAGCTATTCCTCCCATCTTGTAGGAATGGCCGGGCTTTCCACGCCCATCTCAGGTAAGGGTGGCCCAGGGGAGAGGGCTGTGGAACAGCTGGTGCGGTGGAGCCCGGAGACCTGGGTCTAGTCCTGGCTGTACGTTTGTGACCTGGGGCAAGTCACTTCTGTTTCTTTGAGCCTCGGTTTCATTGCCAGGTGAAGGGGTTGTGTAGATGAGATGATTTCTGAGGCCTTTGACAATCCTGGATTCTCTGAAGGCTTAGGCCAGTGCATTGTTACCTGCTGGTCTGGGCTGCTTTGTTATCGAGGTGTTTGTTAGTCTGGTAGATCTGGAATGATGATGGGGGCTGGAATTCAAGTCCTTCCCGAAAACCCTATGCCTCTATTGTATTCCCTCTGACATCCTTCTCATATTTCTCCCTTAATTTCTTTTTCTGTTTTTACTTAGAGACTCTCGCTATTTCTCACTTTTCCACGTCCCCAGTCTGGTCTTTATCATTTTCCTTTTGCAGTGAAGCAATGACGGTGAATGCCTGTGTGTTGCCAGACACAGAGTAGGTGCTCTGTGAATGTTAGAGTGACTGGCTACAGGATGGAGTGTCGCTTAGCTTGCTGGTGTTAAAACATGCCCCTGGTTCACACATAAATACAACCTTAATTTCTCTCTCACTCCCTGCCCCTCCTTCCCCCAGGATTACCTACCTTTCAATGACTGCTTTTCTTCAAAGCTACTCACTGCTTATTTTATCAGACTTCGGCTGATTTGATTTTATTTCTTAAAATATATTTTTATTGTTTCAGAGAGGAAGGAAGAGGGAGAGAGAGAGAAACATCAATGATGAGAGAGAATCATTGATCAACTGCCTCTTGCATGCCCCACACTGGGGATTGAGCTCACAACCGGGGTATGTGCCCTTGACCAGAATCGAACCCAGGATCCTTCAGTCCACAGGCTGACGCTCTATTCACTGAGCCAAACCAGCCAGGGCAGATTTCAACTGATTTTACAAGTGGAAGTATGGGGAGGGGCACACTGGGCTTGCGCAGGTACATTCCTGCATTTCTGTGGCCTTTCGGATTCCCTGGGTCTGACTGACTTGTAAGCAGGTTTGGTGCTGGAAGGAGAGAGAGGCTCTTCTCTAGAGGGGCTTGCAAAGACATACCTGTCACAAATAGTCATCATGGTCATTGCTGTGTGCTTCTGTTAATATTGTCTTCCCCTTTTGATATTTGGGTTTTATTTGGACATTTTGGGTTGAGAGTATTTTAAAGTCAATCTACACAGCAAAAAATATGCTAATAGTTATAGTTGAAGAGAAGTGGCTGGTTTATTGGGCAGAGCATCCGTTGTAAGTTCAGAAGACCTGGGGCTTTGGTCCATCTATTTTTTTTTCTCAAGTAAATTCTTATTAAGTTCCCTGGAAAGGTTAGGCTCACCCCTCACTACCTGCCTCAGTATGGTTCAGTGGAGGTGAGTAAGAAGTGATTACTTTGTATTCCTTGGGGAAAATATGATCTAGAATGTGGAAATGCCATTTACCTTAGCGAAGCCTCCTAACTCGGAGCACACAGGTAAGCTTACTCTGTTCCCACTGAGGCCAGCAGCGCTTCATCCAAGAAGACCTACAAAGTTAGTGGGTTTAGAGGTCAAGAACAGAACTCCATATATACATGACATCAGTGGGGGATACAGAAAGGAAGAAAACAGTAGCAAGGTAATATTTTTGCTCTCAAAAGATCATATGGTTGGTAGTATGGAAAGACATGACACTTAGCAGGAAGTACAAACCAAGGCAAATGAAAATAGCTGACTGTATAGACAGATATAGATATATAGATATAGATAGGGTGTGAGGAGGTGTATGTGCCCGTCTAAGCCAAGAGAGAGGATAGGCTTACAAATCTGTATTGGGTACTCACTGATTTGATTGGTAAAGCGAAAGTCCTGCCTTTTCCTCTAGCCTTTGGGAACCCAAGCACTAGAGAGGGGGGTCTTATGAGGCTCTCAAAAGTGAAATTCTGCACTTTGGGGACACGTAGATTTTGTCTTGGGATTGGTAGGGTTGCATTCCTTTGCATTGTAGAATGGGACATTCTTCTCCTACTCACTCTGATGTGAAAAAAAAGACTATTTTCAAATCTCTGGGGTTGACCTATGTCTTCTGAGGATTATCTCAACCAACTTCTGATAAAGTATAAAGAAAGAACCTGGGTTTCGGAGTCAGGGAGAGGTGGGCTTGATTTGGCGCTGTCACTGGTTCCTCACTGTATGTTCATCACATGAAGTTGGCAAGTCAGAATCACAAATCTTTGAGCCTGTTTCCTCACTTATGTAATGGGAATAAGAACACCTACTTTTCAGGGTTGGTTATAAATATTGTATATGTGAGGGCTTGACATAAAGAGGGTGCTCAATAAATAAATTAACACTTTAGCTATGTTTCTTGATGTTCTTTTGTAAGGCTCTGTGGAGTTTGTGTGTGCACAAATATTTCCTAGGGATCATGAAGGGTAAAATAGTGTCATCTCCTGAATTGGGGCTCATAGATACATCTGAGTTTTATTGCCTTCCCAGAGATGATATTGTAATTCACTTATAGACATGGGGCAAGCCAGCCATGTATTGTGGGGCCTGCACTACTTCTTATTTTATTTTATTTTTCAAAGTATATCTTTATTGATTTCATAGAGGAAGGGAGGAGAGAGAGATAGAATCATCAATGATGAGAGTGAATCATTGACCAGTTGCCTCCTGCACGCCCCCTACTAGGGGTTGAGCCTGCAACCCAGGCATATGCCGTTGACCCGAATCGAACCTGGGGCCCTTCAGTCCTCAGGCTGACGCTCTATCCACTGAGCCAAACCAGCTAGGGCGGGCCTGTACTTCTTGACTGAAAGGCCAAGGCTAGGACGCTTGCTGTGGTAACCCCTCAGACTCTATTCCCTGATTTGGACATTTTGATGGTCTTTTTCTAACAGGCTTCACTGAAAACAGATCCTGCAAGTTCCAGGTGCCTACGCTGGAAACTTGGAGATCCTGCTTCCTGCTTCCCAGGCCACAGTTGTGGGGAACTTGGGGTGAAGCAGGGAAGTTTCTGTATTCAGCTGCCCAGGCAGAGGAGAATGGGGTCTCCACAGCCTGAAGAATGAAGACACGACAGAATAAAGACTCAGTGAGTGACAGCTTAAATGAGGGACATGAAAGATTAGGGGCAGGGAAGGTAGGGGGGTGGGCCTGGAGAGAAAATTGCAGTAAGGCACATCTTAAAGTTAGATGTAGTGTGAAAACAACTTTCGTTTCCTTTCTTCTCCTTCAGATGTCAATGAGGAGTGGACGGAAGAAAGAGGCCCCTGGGCCCCGGGAAGAATTGAGATCGAGGGGCCGGGCCTCCCCTGGAGGGGTCAGCACGTCCAGCAGTGATGGCAAAGCTGAGAAGTCTAGGCAGACGGCCAAGGTATTCTGTCTTGAGGTCCTCCCACAGGTGGCCCAGGCACTTGGGCTAAGGCTGTGTGTGTGTGTGTGCTGCAGGGGTACTTCCTCGCTGGCAGAGGGCTGTGGTGGAGGTTTGGGAGGCCTAAGACAGGAATGTTCCCTTTCTCGCTAACAGAAGGCGCGAGTAGAGGAAGCCTCCACCCCAAAGGTCAGCAAGCAGGGCCGGAGTGAGGAGATCTCAGAGAGTGAAAGTGAGGAGACCCATGCACCAAAGAAGACCAAAACGGAGGTATCCTGACCCATCTTCTGACTGTTCTGTCCCCCACACTTGCTTTCATTCAGGATTCCCACTTTAATCTTACCTGGGATAGGAGAAAAGTGGAGGAGCCTGGCCTTTCCTTTTCTAGGTCCTGATTTTCAGGAAGGAGGAGGAGGTTTAGGGTGAGAAGTCTTAGTGGAAGGAACAGATAAATCATACAAAAAATGCAGAAGTGGACCTTTTAAGAACCAAGGGTTTCTGGGATGTTAAAGAGGTAAAGGAGTTAAGAAGGGGATGGCTATAAGCTGGTGGAAGACGGATTTGGGTTCAGCTGTGGATAGGAAGAAGGTGCTTGAGATGGACACTCGAAGAGGAACAGGGTTTTACAAGGAGGGGCTGATCTAGGGAGCAGCTGAGAATGTGGGGAGGGGTGGAATCCAGAGGTGGTAGGAGAGTGGGCTTGAGTAAGAGTGTCCATCACGTCGTGGCCCAGTGGTGCGCTGTGAGGGGGAAATGATTTATGCAAGGGAGGCCCCGAATCTAGGGGAAGCCAGAAAGGAAAGGCACAGGGGAAAACAGCTCTCCCTGTTCTGCAGCAGGAGCTCCCCCGGCCCCAGTCCCCCTCGGATCTGGACAGTCTAGATGGGCGGAGCCTCAATGATGATGGTAGCAGTGACCCGAGGGACATAGACCAGGACAACCGAAGCACATCCCCCAGCATCTACAGCCCTGGAAGCGTGGAGAATGACTCCGACTCGTCCTCCGGCCTGTCCCAGGGCCCGGCCCGCCCCTACCACCCACCTCCACTCTTTCCTCCCTCCCCCCCACCGCCAGACAGCAACCCTCGACAGCCAGAGCCTGGTTTTGAATCCCACCCTTCTGTGACACCCACTGGCTATCATGCTCCCATGGAGCCCCCCACATCTCGAATGTTCCAGGCTCCTCCTGGGGCCCCTCCGCCTCATCCACAGCTCTACCCTGGGGGTGCTGGTGGAGGAGTTTTGTCTGGACCCCCAATGGGCCCCAAGGGGGGAGGGGCTGCCTCTTCAGTGGGGGCCCCTAGTGGCGGTAAGCAGCAACCCCCACCCACTACCCCCATTTCAATATCGGGCTCTGGGCCTGGGGGTGCTCCCCCAACAAAGCCATCAAACACTCCAGTGGGTGGTGGAAACCTACCCTCTGCTCCACCACCAGCCACCTTCCCACATGTGACACCAAACCTGCCTCCCCCACCTGCTCTGAGACCCCTGAACAATGCATCAGCCTCTCCTCCTGGCCTGGGATCCCAGCCCCTACCTGGGCATCTGCCCTCTCCCCATGCCATGGGGCAGGGTATGGGTGGACTTCCTCCTGGCCCAGAAAAGGGCCCCACTCTTGCTCCCTCGCCCCACCCTCTGCCCCCTGCCTCCTCTTCTGCCCCCGCCCCGCCAATGAGGTACCCTTACTCGTCCTCTAGTAGCAGCTCTGCAGCAGCCTCCTCGGCCAGTTCGTCGTCCTCTGCCTCCCAGTACCCCGCTTCCCAGGCCCTGCCCAGTTACCCCCACTCCTTCCCTCCCCCCACAAGCCTCTCCGTGTCCAATCAGCCGCCCAAGTACACCCAGCCTTCGCTCCCGTCCCAGGCTGTGTGGAGCCAGGGCCCCCCGCCACCCCCTGCCTATGGCCGCCTCCTCGCCGCCAACAATACCCATCCAGGCCCCTTCCCTCCTCCTGCTGGAGGCCAGTCCACTGCCCACCCCCCCGCCCCCACACATCACCATCACCAGCAGCAGCAGCATCATGGGAGCTCCGGGCCCCCTCCACCCGGAGCATATGCCCACCCTCTGGAGGGCAGCAGTTCCCACCATGGGCACCCCTATGCCATGTCTCCCTCCCTGGGCGCTCTGCGGCCCTACCCACCGGGGCCGGCACACCTGCCCCCCCCTCACGGCCAGGTGCCCTACAGCCAGGCGGGCCCCAGCGGCCCCCCCACCTCCTCCTCCTCTTCCAACTCCTCTGCCTCCTCTCAAGGGTCCTACCCGTGTCCTCACCCCTCTCCTTCCCAGGGCCCCCCAGGGGCGCCCTACCCCTTCCCCCCGGCGCCTCCGGTCACCACCTCCTCGGCGACGCTCTCCACAGTCATCGCCACCGTGGCGTCCTCGCCCGCCGGCTACAAGGCCGCCTCCCCGCCTGGGGCCCCGCCGTACGGGAAGCGGGCCCCTTCCCCGGGGACCTACAAGACAGCCACCCCGCCGGGGTACAAGCCTGGGTCCCCGCCCTCCTTCCGAACGGGGACCCCCCCGGGCTACCGAGGCACCTCGCCGCCCGCGGGCCCGGGCCCCTTCAAGCCGGGCTCGCCCACGGTGGGGCCCGGGCCGCTGCCGCCAGCGGGACCCGCGGGCCTGTCTGCTCTGCCACCGCCGGCCGGCCCGGCCCCAGGACCGCCCCTGAGCGCCACGCAGATCAAACAGGAGCCGGCCGAGGAGTACGAGACCCCCGAGAGCCCAGTGCCCGCGGCCCGCAGCCCCTCTCCCCCTCCCAAGGTGGTAGACGTGCCCAGCCATGCCAGTCAGTCAGCCCGGTGAGTGGGCGCGGGCGGGCTGGGGTGGGGAATGGCGGAGCGGGGGTCGGGGGGCTGCGTCCACAAGGTGCTTTGTAAAGTACGGCGGCCCCTGTCCGCCTGCCCAGCCGGTGGGGGCTGAGCGCGCGCTGCCTCTGCGCCCTCAGGTTCAACAAACACCTGGACCGCGGCTTTAACTCGTGCGCGCGCAGCGACCTGTACTTCGTGCCCTTGGAGGGCTCCAAGCTGGCCAAGAAGCGGGCCGACCTGGTGGAGAAGGTGCGGCGCGAGGCCGAGCAGCGCGCGCGCGAAGAGAAGGAGCGCGAGCGCGAGCGAGAACGCGAGAAGGAGCGCGAGCGCGAGAAGGAGCGCGAGCTGGAGCGGAGCGTGGTGAGTGCGTCACGGCGTGCGCCTCCCGCCTTCCGGCCTGCCTTGTGCGCTACGCAGTCAGGCTCGAGGGGCGGGGGTCACTGCGCCACCTCTTGGAGAGGAGGAAGTACTGCAGCCCAGGAAATGGAGACCACAGGATTCCTGCGGGAGGGGTGCCTGGCCTGGGGTCGGCTCAGGTCAGACTACCTGTGGATTGTAAGAGCTGCTCTTCAGAAGTGGGTAGGGGAGTCCCTGGTAGGCTGAGTTCCAATAAGACGAGGTACTTTGGCATTCTGCTGCTGAGATAAACTAGCAGCTCAGGATTGCCCACCTTTTTTATTATTGATTTCCAGAGAGAAGAAGGGAGAGAGAAACGTGGTGGGTTGCTTTTCGCCCATGTCCCAACCCGGATTTGAACCTGCAACGTTTTGGTGTACAGGCTGATGCTCCAACCAACTGAGCCACACCAGACAGGGCCTGGCCACCATTTGCTAAAACTGCTTTTCTGATTCCTTTTCTCCCTGTATCCCACAGAAGTTGGCTCAGGAGGGCCGTGCTCCAGTGGAGTGTCCGTCTCTCGGCCCAGTGCCCCATCGCCCTCCATTTGAGCCGGGCAGTGCTGTGGCTACAGTGCCCCCCTACCTGGGTCCTGACACTCCAGCCCTGCGCACGCTCAGTGAATATGCCCGGCCTCACGTCATGTCTCCTGGCAACCGCAACCATCCGTTCTACGTGCCCCTGGGGGCAGTGGACCCGGGACTCCTGGGTTACAATGTCCCAGCCCTGTACAGCAGTGACCCAGCAGCCCGGGAGAGGGAGCGGGAAGCCCGAGAAAGAGACCTCCGTGACCGCCTCAAGCCCGGCTTTGAGGTGAAGCCCAGCGAGCTGGAGCCCCTACACGGGGTCCCTGGGCCTGGGCTGGACCCCTTCCCCCGCCATGGAGGCCTGGCTCTGCAGCCTGGCCCCCCTGGCCTGCACCCGTTCCCGTTTCACCCGAGCCTGGGGCCGCTGGAGAGAGAGCGCCTGGCGCTGGCGGCGGGGCCCGCCCTGCGGCCCGACATGTCCTATGCGGAGCGCCTGGCCGCGGAGAGGCAGCACGCGGAGAGGGTGGCAGCCCTGGGCAACGACCCGCTGGCCCGGCTGCAGATGCTCAACGTGACCCCCCACCACCACCAGCACTCCCACATCCACTCGCACCTGCACCTTCACCAGCAGGATGCCATCCACGCAGGTGAGACGCCTACTCCTTCCTGGCCCCCCCCCCCCCCAAGTGGTTGGGCTCTCCTCTTCCTCAGTCCAGGACCCCCTTCGTCCGGCATGAGCTCTCTCCTCAGTGCTTCCTGATCTTTGCTTCCCTGTCATTCACCAGCCTGTCGTCTCCTACCCTAGCCTTGCCACAGCACTGTTGCCCACATCCCACCCATGAGAGAGGCCAAAGCTGAGCCCTTTGAGAGAGCACTGCCTTTCTACCGTTACCGCCCCTTTCCCCCAGACCCTCACGTACCTGTTTTCTTGCTCCTCTGGATTCAGCTCTCTTGTGACTTCTTGCCACCTTCTCTCCTCCCAGCTGTAGGCCTTTTATGTTCCTCCCCATCTCTGTGCCTTTCAGAAAGAATCTTGTAGCTGTGGTTGTGGGCATCATAGGTGATAATGAGCTTTACTTACTGTCCTTTTACTATATTTCTTTAAAAAAAAAAGACTTTTATTGATTTCAGAGAGGAAGGGAGAGATAGAAACATCAAGGATGAGAGAGAATCATTGATCGGCTGTCTCCTGCAAGCCCCCTACTAGGGATTGAGCCCATAACCCGGGCATGTGCCCTTGACCGGAATCCAACATGGTACCCTTCAGTCCACAGGCCAATGCTCTAGCCACTGAGCACAAACCGGCTGCAGTGGTTGGCAAACTGCAGCTAGGCAAACCACGGCTCGCGAGCCACATGCGGCTCTTTGGCCCCTTGAGTGTGGCTTTTCCACAAAATACCAGCTCTTCCACAAAATACCGACATCTGCGCATGGACCACGAAGTTTCAATCGCACTATACGTGCGCGCCCACACGTGGTATTTTGTGGAAGAGCCACACTCAAGGGGCCAAAGAGCCGCATGTGGCTCGCGAGCCACGGTTTGCCGACCACGGGGCTAGGGTTTCACTAGATTTCTTATTGCCCACTCTAACCTTACATTCATGTTCATTCCAACCTCCCTTGAGCTTTCTCTCTCTCTGTTAACCTCTCTTCCTGTCTCATTTTCTCAACTTTCTTTCCTCTTTCATCTCCTCTAAGCAGACCACGTCTCTCTTTCCTTTTCCTCAGACCCCTCTGATAACTATAATCTGTCTGTTAATATGTCCCTGCTCCATTAGCGTCTCATACTTGTCCATTGTGCTCCTTGTTCCACTCTGGATCTCCCTGTGTTTGATTTTCCATCTCTCTTCCCAGGCTTGGATCCCTTCACTACATGCATGGTTTTCCCCAAACCTGCCTTCTGGTGACACCTTCCTCTTCTTTACCCTCCAGCCTCTGCCTCAGTGCACCCTCTCATTGACCCCCTGGCCTCAGGGTCTCACCTTACCCGGATACCCTACCCAGCTGGGACCCTCCCCAACCCCCTTCTTCCTCACCCTCTGCACGAGAATGAAGTTCTTCGTCACCAGCTCTTTGGTAAGGATGGAGGTTGGGGATAGGGAAGGTCTAATAAAGGAAGAGCAGAAAGGAGGAATTTGGGTGGTGGGATTGGCCTAATTTGGCTTGGGGTGGGTGAGGAGGTGCCCAGAAGAGCTGGGGGTGGGAGTCGCTCTGCTGGAGAGAGGCATCGGTTTTATTGCCCGGCCAAGAAGTTTGAATCCTAACTCCACCACTGGCATTTTTCAAGACTGCTGTTACCTAATATTTTAGTCTGTTTCCTCTGTATGTAAAGTGGTTGGTTATCTCTTGGCTCAGAGTAGGTCATCAGTCATGTGCCCTGTGCCCTTCCTGCCTACAGCTGCTCCTTACCGGGACCTGCCAGCTTCCCTCTCTGCCCCGATGTCAGCAGCTCACCAGCTGCAGGCCATGCACGCACAGTCCGCTGAGCTGCAGCGCCTGGCGCTGGAGCAGCAGCAGTGGCTGCATGCCCATCACCCGCTGCACAGTGTGCCGCTGCCTGCCCAGGAGGACTACTACAGGTACGACTGGGCGCCCCTCGGCCAGGAATGAGGAGATGTAAGCCTGGGATGGGGTGTAGGCATGGTACAACTTGGTGTTAGTCTTCTCAGGGAGCGATCCCCTCTTCCACCATCCTCTGTGAGAGGGGTCAGGTCAGATTTGACCTCACTCGCTTATTCTGTTCTACTCCCAGTCACCTGAAAAAGGAAAGTGACAAGCCACTGTAAACCTGCCATCAAGAGAACACCCAAGTGTGCATCTGGATCTTGGAAGCCTCCCTCCCGGCCTGCCACCCAGAGCGAGGAGGGGTGCTGCTCAGTTGCAGGGCCTCAGCAGCTGAGCAGAGGGAGGGAGGAAGGGACAGATGGGAACCGAGGCTCCTGTGGTGTGCAGAGGTGGGGAGGTAGGGGGGTGGGGGCAGAAAGCGCGCAGTATCTTGGACCAGGTCCCTCTTTTTGTCCCCCTGCTTTCTTCCTGTCCCATGCCCAGCCCCTGGGCCACCACCCCGCCCTGCCCCGTTGGTGTGATAATTTCATCTGTTAGATGTGGCTGTTTTTGCGTAGCATTGTGTGCCACCCCCTGCCTCTACCCAACCCCTGTGTGCGCGCCCCCTCTGCAATGTATGCCCCTTGCCCCTGCCCCACATTAATAATTTATATATATAAATATCTATATGATGCTCTTTAAAAACATCCCAACCAAAACCAACCAAACAAAACATCCTCACAACTCCCCAGGAAGATGGCTGTGACTCCTTATTTGCGGCTACGGGGCAGGGTGGGGGGTGAGGGGTGGGAAGTTGTCTGCTTAATGGGGCCTCAATAGAGACCCTCTGGGAAGTGGGAAGGGATGGGCCTTCTGAAGAACAGGGTGGAGGGACCCTAAACAGTTGAAAAGGATACTCCCATCAGGATGCTAGAGGCCTGGGACAGGCACACCTCTGCCAAGGTCAGGTCTAGGAAATACTCAGACTTAGGAGGTTTTTGTTTTTAAAATACATTTTTATTAATTTCAGAGAAGGGAGAGCGAGATAGGAACATCAATGAGAGAAAATCATTGATTGGCTGCTTCTTGAAAACTTCCCCTTCCCTCTCCCTCCCCCTTACACCCCCCCCTTTCCCTCCCCTGTTCCCCTCCTCCCCCATGAGCCTGTAACCCGGGCATGTACTCTGACGGGGAATGAACCCCCACCTGATTCATAGGTCCACGGGCAACCACTGAACCACCACTGCCGCGCTGAGGCATGACAGCTAGGAGCCACCAGTCTGAATCCTTTCTGCAGAACACTTTGAGACATTATGAAGCAGAGGTCCAAGAGCCGTATTTCCACAGATTAATGCGATTAGAATCCAGGAGTCTTTACCCTATGGTTTGAGGAGAGAGCAGGTGACCATTTCAAACGCCTAGACAAGTTAGACGGCATCACGCCGCAGCACTCCTATGCAAGTGCGACGGCTGTTTCGGTTCCAAGCTTTTATTGCTGCAAGTCACTCTCCTTAAAAACCAAAAGGTGTGACTGGCTTCTCTCAGCCAATCAGCATCGGTCTCATTTGCATACGCTCGTCTCAAACGTTTGCCAACTCTAGACACGCACACGAGTCCCTTAAATACTGCCTTTCCTTGAGAGACTCGCAGTGCGCCTCGCTGCGTGCACAGCGGTGGGAGCTAGGAGCGCCCGCCCGGAGTCACCCTCACCCAGGGCGGAGTCCACGGGGGCCCCGCGTTCTCGCCAGGGCCCGCCCCGCAGTGCTTACAGCTCTTTTTGAATTTGTCCAGCAGGTCTTCCGGCTCGTCCCGGAAGGCCCTCCCCAAACCGCGAGTGCATGGCAACAATAGAACCACTCAGAGCCCGCGCGGGCGTTATTCTCCCTGCTCGTTAGAGCGTCACGCCCCCGACTGTTCCCAGTTCCTCGGGGTTCCGTGGGGTGCTCTGGGGGGCGCCCGAGGAACTTCCGGCTGCGGCTGGCTCTTCCCCCGCCCCGACTACCCCGGGGAACCGGTCGGCGGCCTCCCTCTCTTCCCGGCATTTCCTAGGTCTTGCCGTCCGTGCTGCTCCCGTGGCGCTATGGCGTCCGCCTCGGCCCAGGCTGCGGCCCTGAGCGCCGAACAGGCCAAGGGTGAGCAGCAGGGCATCCTAGTCCCGGGGGCCGCCTGCCGGGGAGGGTGCCGGCGGGGGCTGGCAGCGAGATGGGCTTGCTCCGCCGGAAACGGGGCGCGGGGTACCAGCCTCCTCCCTCCTCTGAGGGGTGCGGGGCCGTGTTTATCGGGTTACCACGGCTTCGGCCCGCTAATTCCCTGTCCTCTTCCCTGCACTGTCGGCTGGGCCTGCCGGCCACGCTCCGGCGCCGGCCCCGGGACGCCACCCTGGGTTGCATCCGCCACACAGTGGTCCTGGCCGAGGTGATCCAGGCGTTCGCGGCCCCCGAGAACGCCGTGCGCATGGACGAGGCTCGGGACAACGCGTGCAACGACATGGGCAAGATGCTGCAGTTCGTGCTGCCCGTGGCCACGCAGATTCAGCAGGAGGTCATCAAGGCCTATGGCTTCAGCTGCGACGGGGAAGGTGGGTCGGCCGGGATGGGGTGGAGTTGGGGAGAAACGTGCTGGATTCGTAGTCCTGACTGTCGTCTCCCTTCTCGCCACACGGAGGCAGCCACAATCCGTCTAATAGTGTTGGCCCTGAGCCCCCTAGGTCCTAGGACCTACTCTGAAATGCGCCAGGTGAAGTCCTCAGTGCATTTTGTAGTTACCATTAGTTATACTATTAGTCCATTTTAAGATGAGGAAACATACTCTTGTAGTAAACTAAGTGCCGGAGGGTCGTCACCGCAGAGCCGGACCTGAGTCCCGTTTTGAAAGCTTTTCGTCTGCATAATAGCAGCTTCTGCAGCCCCTCCAAGGTGTTTGGCTGCTCTCTGCTTGAGGGTTGGAAGTTCAGTTTCTTTAATGAGATCATGGTATTCCCCAGGGGTGTTGACTGATTTAGGCTGGTCACCCCCTGGCCCTCCTGTGTTGTGGTTATAGATATGGGGTGTTTCCTGGGTGTTCATACTTTGGATTTCTGTGACTAAATTGCTAACATTGTTCACTCGATAGGGAGAAGCACGCCTTGGGATATTTCCATTCCCTGCATCCCATCTGGTTGTGCTCCGTGTAGACGGGAAAGTGGTTGATCCAAACCCCCAGGGCAGAGGCCTTTCATGTGCCTTGTTTTGCAGACAGCTACCTGGCGAGTGACTCATGCTCAGGCTACCCTCTGCCCTCGTCTTGAGCACCTCCATTCCCTGGGGATGTGGGTTGACCTCAGACCCCCCCCCACCCCCTGCAGGTGTCCTGAAGTTTGCCCGCTTGGTCAAGTCTTACGAAGCCCAGGATCCTGAGATTGCCAGCCTGTCGGGCAAGCTGAAGGCACTGTTCCTGCCGCCTATGACACTGCCACCCCACGGGCCTGCTTCCGGTGGCAGCGTAGCCGCCTCCTGAGAGTTGGCCTCCCCGTGACATTGCCTGGGAAGGGAAGATCTCCGTGTCCCGGTGGATAATAAACATGCCTGTGATTTCTTCTCAGCGTCATTCTTTTGTGACCTGACAAGCCCACCTCCTGGCCCCGGATTCCCTCTGCCATTTCAGTTGCTCATGTCCCTGTCCAGATCTTCCTATGCTCTTGCTGGGCCCAACCCTGCTCCAAGGCAGGGTTGGAGGGTGGGCCGGCCCTTCAGCACCCTGAGCGGGTGGGCCTGCACAGGTAGTACCTCTGGTGAGGAATGGGGCTTCCTGGGCTTTTCCTGCGGCCCCTTGGTGGCTGCGGACCAAAAAGTTCCCTCATTGGCTGGTGTTCACTTGGCCGGGGTTACTTCCTGGTCCTTGCCCCCACCCGCTCTCCTGCGGCCCTGTCAGCTTGCGCTCCAGGTGGAGCTCCAGGTGGCTCCTCCCCTCCCCATGGAAGGAGGCCCTGGGCAGGCAGGCAGGCACGCCCTGGACTCTCGACCTGACCGGAGGAGTAGGGCTGGAGGGAAAAGCAGGCTGCTGTGGGTGGTCTGAGGCCAGCCCCACCTCATCTGCCCCTTTGCTGGGGATCCTTAGTGCAGGGGCTTGTTCCTGCCGTACCCTTGGCCTGGTGGACAGCATCGAGGAGGAAGCGGCTGAGTTCAGAGCATTCTTTTCCACCAGGTCTGGGCCACCACACTGCTGCGCCTTGGGCTCAGCCCCGCCCCGCCCCTTCTGGCTCTCTGCCTGTGACTCCCCCATCCTCTGGGGAGATGCTGTCCCGTGGGTAAGTCTCCTGCTCCACCTGGGTGCTACAGTCTCCTGTTCGTTTGGAGGGAGGAGCAAGGTTCACGCTCACTTCTGACACGTGTGTGACCGTGAGTGCGATCTGTCAGTGCTCCCTGCCCTGGGTCTGCATCCTGTCTCTACCCTCGAGTTTTGAGGAGCTCCAGGCTTATTCATGCTTCTGGGGGGACTCACCCCCTTCTCTGACACTTTTCCCTGACACATGTGTTGATTCTCACCATTGCATTTCTCTCTCCATCCTCCGTTCGCCTGCTTTTGCTGTTTGCTTAAGTTAGACCTGTCCCCCGGGTAGCCCACATCACCTGAAACATAACGTGTCTGAAAGACAAACCTGAGAAAGCTTGTCTGCGTTCCACTTTCTTTCAGTTCCTCTTCACTTCCCCTCCCCTGTATCATTCATACACAGACACATGGTGAGGCACTTTTGAAGGTTCTGGCTATAACTGTAGCGGACAGGGCAGACATGGTCCCTGCCCTCATAGAGCTTCATTTCAGTGGGAGGCGACAGACTACACCAAGAACCCAATTAATAGGATATTTTCCGATTCTCAGAAGGGAAAAGAAACAGCTTCATGCGCTAGCAGGTGACTGGGCTGCCGGCGCCCTCACTGGCTGGAGGGGTCCAGGAGGGTTTTCCTGAGGAGGGGACGAGTGAGTCAGAGCCCCTGGGCAGAGGGAATGGCGAGGGAGAGGCCTTGCTGTGGGAGCAATGACACAGGGACAGTGCCCGAGGCAGGGTGAACTGGTGGGGAGGAAAGCAGGGCCCGGCAGGCCTGTTGGAGTTGGTGACCATCTACCTACTGAGGACCTGCTTGGAGTGTTGGTGAGTTGGTAGGTTGGCCACGCCCCTCTTTTCATTGGTGCTGCCTTCCCCAGGGTACACGGTTGTCACTGTCAGCCCCACTGACCATCTTCTGGACAATCCCATCCATGCTCCCACCATGATCGTTTTCTCACCAGCCGGTTGGAAAGGCCTCTCCCGGTGCAGGTTCCTTCCCCGGATCCTCAGCCGGCGTGCCTCGTAAGGCTCTGCAACAGGCCCCAGCCTCTCAGAGCAGCTTTGCAGCAGGCAGCCCGCTCCGCTCACATGCAGCCCTGCTCCAGCGGATCCGGCGCCTGCCACCTTGGTGCTGCCTCTGTGGGAGCACCGGCCCTCCAGCGTCCCCCTAGGGCCATGCCAGCACCCTCCCCCCAGTATCCTACCTCCACTGAGGTCTGCTGCAGCAGTGTGGCCGTTGCGTGGGGAAGGACAAGCTCTGGTGTCAAATAACCTTGGTCTGTCCACCTTCCCACTCATGTGCTTGTGACCTTGTGCCAGTTACTTAATGTCTCTAAGCCTGTTTTTTTTTATTCTAAAATTGAGCTAATAAGACCTAATAAATAGGGTTGGCATGTGGGTTAATTTGTAATGTAAGAGCTGCTGGCACTAAAACCCTACTGCGTATCAGCTTTTTAAAAAAAATTTTTTTTAATTGATTTCAGAGAAGAAGGGAGAGAGAAATGGAAACATCAATGATGGCCTGGCCGGCATGGCTCAGTGGTTGAGCGTCGACCTATGAACCAGGAGGTCACAGTAAAATTATGGTCAGGGCACATGCCTGGGTTGCAGGCTCGATCCCCAGTGTGGGGCGTGCAGGAGGCCGCCGATCAATGATTCTCTCTCATCATTGGTGTTTCTATCTCTTTCCCAGGTGCTGAGGAATTGGGAAGCTCAGGAATTTCCTAGGCATTTCACTTGGCTATTGTAGACCCCTTATCTTTCTACTTCACCACTGATCTCTATCTCTACCTTTATCTCTCTGCTTCCCAAGTGAATACTTTTCTCTTCTGAAGCACTAGGCACTTATTTTGTAGCTTCCGGCCTCCTTCAGCCTGTTTTCCTTCCTTAAAAAAGTGAGGGAAATAATATCTACATCAGAAGGATGCATGAGGCCCAGGTGGGATTGTGTCTGTGCAAGTGCTCTGGGGATACTGGAGCGCCCATAGCAAGGTAAGGAAGGCGGTGGTTCTTTATGTCCCTGTTAAAGGGACAACAGAGACTGTACATCTTATCTTAGTGTCTGTCTTCTGGCTTGACACCTTCCAGAAAAAGTCCTTCCTCTCCCAAGGGTCAGGCGCTCCTGGGTGCCTAGCTAGTTTCTTCCCACCCAGTGGGTTTAAGCCCCAGAAGGAGAGAGGGCTGGGTCCGGGGTGCAGTGGGTGTTCAGTGCTGAGCAGGGACCTGGAACTTTGCGTGGGGTCAGGATAAAGTGTCCAGGTGGGTATTTGTACCAAACCAGGGATGTGTGTCGATGGACATGGGCGATGAGCTGCATGTAGTGGGACTGTGTGCGTGGGTGGGTGATTGTGTGTGTGTCTGTGTCTGTATATGACAAGGGAGGGGTATATGTGTAGGACCAGGAGCTGGACTTGTGACCATGTACTTGCATAGGTTTTGATGAGCTTGTTTATGGGACACATGCTCTGTGCGAGGCATTGTGCTAAGCTATGAACATTCGGAGGTGAGCAAGACTGGTGGTGGGCCCCTGTGGTGGAGCGGGCTGTGCAGCTGCTCTTCCGGCCCTTGCTGTGGGAGGGAGTTCACGGTCATTCAGAGCGGCTGTCCTAGACTGAAGGGGAGCCCGGCTGGGCAGCTCAGTTGGTTAGGGCGTCATCCTGTAAGCCAAGATTGTGGGTTTGATTTCTAGTCAGGGCACATCCAACAAGCAGCCAGTGAATACGTAAATAAGTGGAATGACAGATCAGTGTTTCTCTTTCTCTCTCTCCCTTCCTGTCTCTTTCTTAAAAAAAATCAATTTAAAACATTTTTTAAAAAGACTGAAGGGGTAGTCAGCATCAGACCACGCAGTAACCAAGCCAAGCAAGTTCCCCAGGGTACCAGAAAGAGGTGGGAAAAAAGCCCTTTTTGGGGAGGGGAGCGGCGGGGGGTGGGGGGATTGATGTTTGATGTTTTAAAAAGTGATACAGTAGTCGTCATAGAAAAACAGACTTTTGTTGGGCTTTAAGACTTTGTTATTTTTTTCTCCTTATTTTTTATTGAGGTTGGCATGGATGTAAGCCTGGTGAACATCAGCATGCACCCATGTATATACCACCCAGATCAAGCAGCCCAGAGCTTTCCTGGAAATTGCTACCTCCCAGTCAGTTTATTTATTTTTATTTTTTAAAATATATTTTATTGATTTTTTACAGAGAGAAAGGGAGAGGGATAGAGAGTTAGAAACATCGATAAGAGAGAAGCATCAATCAGGTGCCTCCTGCACACCCTCTACTGGGGATGTGCCTGCAACCAAGATACATGCCCTTGACCAGAATCGAACCTGGGACCCTTCAGTCCACAGGCTGACGCTCCATCCACTGAGCCAAACCGGTCAGGGCTATTTTTATTTTAAAATATATTTTATTGATTTTTTTACAGAGCGAAAGGGAGAGGGATAGAGAGTTAGAAACATCGATGAGAGAGAAGCATCAATCAGCTGCCTCCTGCACACCCCCTACTGGGGATGTGCCTGCAACCAAGATACATGCCTTGACCGGGACTCTTCAGTCCGCAGGCCGATACTCTATCCACTGAGCCAAACCGGCCTGGGCCCAGTCAGCTTATTTTTATAAAGGTAATACATGCCCATGCCACAACTTTCTAAAAGGTATAAGGGAGAAGTCGCCATCTCTCCAGCTGCCCAGACTCCCCCCAGGGGAAGCCACCAATATGAGTTTCTTGCCTGTGCTTTGTTGGGCTGCTTTCCTCTCGCGTTGGTTGGGTGGTGTTTGTGTGGAATTACACACTGAGAGCATCATGCCCTTGTAGTGTTTAGGGCCTCTCAAGGTCAACGGGCCCTGAGACTATCAGCCATGGCAGGGACCGGGGCCCCAGACAGGCCTCTGGCTGATTGAGACCAGATCCACTCGGCAAGAAGCTATGGCTCAGACATAGGGTGGTTGGACCAAAGGGGCCTGTCAACTCCGTCCCCACCTGCCTCCTTAACTCCAACTCCCTCCCTCCCCCCATTCTGTTCCTGGGCTCCAACTACATGGTTAGGGCAGGGTAGGGGCAAAGGCCCAGGGGCAAGAAATAGAAAAGGTGCCAGTTTCACAGGGGTCATTCTATCCACCTCTCTGCCCCAGGGGCACCCCTGCAGATGTGAATGCTGGGAAGGCGAGGGCAGCCTCCTTCAGAAGCATCTACAGGTCTTGGCTGTTGGGGACCCGCCCCTTCCCACTACAACTTCCCCACACTCCCTGAGCCTCAGGTCCCTTGTCTGTAAAGTGGGACAGTACCTGCTTCACAGGGCTATTGTGAGGAGTAAATCAGGCGAGGGTCGTGAAGGACCTTATAGCACAATGTCCGGCACACGGCATGATTGCAGTACATGCAGCGATCACTGTGACCATTATTATTAGCTCGGAACAGGGAAGGCAGTGTGGAAGCAGCTGGGAGGAGGAAGAGATGGCGTGTGACTGTGTGGGTTCACATGTATGAAGCATGATCTTCTCCCGGAGGGTGCAAGGTGTACACGTGTCCTTATTTGTGGAATGCCATGCTCCGAAGGCCTTTGATGGCAGACATGTGGAAAGTGGGCCCTAACCCCACCCCCACTGCCACCGTCTCTGCTAAAATGAGAAGTACAGTGAGTTCCCCCAAGGGGGCCTCGCCCCTTCCTGTCCCCGCCCTGTCGGCAGCCCTGGGCCATTGGAGTGGCAGCCCCAGAACCAGGACTACAGGGTGGTGAGGCGGCCTGGGTGCTGAGGGCCGCGTTTGAGGCTTAGCCCTAGCGGTCTCCGCTTGCCCGGACTCCCCGGCACTACCTCGTTCCCGGCACCCCCTTCCTTTTGGGGAGCCCCCAGGATGGTGAGGTAAGGGCCTGGGACCCACGGTAGGCAGGAGGCACGGGCGCCCCGGAGCCCGTGCGACCTCTCCTCACCGCCCTCCTGGGCCTCTCAGGTGGTTTCACCGAGACCTCAGTGGGCTGGATGCAGAGACCCTGCTCAAGGGCCGCGGTGTCCATGGGAGTTTCCTGGCTCGGCCGAGTCGCAAGAACCAGGGCGACTTCTCCCTTTCTGTCAGGTAGGTGACCCTCAGCTCCACCCAGGACCGGGATTTTGGCAGTTCATTCTTGGTTCCCTCACGGTAGTGCCCACTCCCCAGCCCCCGCCCAGCATGTCCCTGTCCCTGTCTGTGTCCACCCCATCCTGTGTGTGTCCCCTTCTTAGGACCTCAGCCCATCCCCTACCCGTCCCCCCCTCTCCTCCTGCACCCACTGGCCTCACCGCCTGGTGTCCTGCAGGGTAGGGGACCAGGTGACCCATATTCGGATCCAGAACTCGGGGGATTTCTACGACCTGTATGGGGGGGAGAAGTTTGCGACGCTGACGGAGCTGGTGGAGTACTACACGCAGCAGCACGGCGTCCTGCAGGACCGCGACGGCACCATCATCCACCTCAAGTACCCGCTTAACTGCTCTGACCCGACCAGTGAGAGGTGAGGGGCTTTGCTTCCGCCCCTCACTGGCAGTGCCTTCCCTATCCCGGCGCCCTACCAGGGCTCTGTGGCCCTCTGTCTTCCGTGTGACCCTAGGGCTGTGTCTCAGTGGACGAACCTCCCACCCCTTTCCGTCTACCCCTGAGGAAGCGAGAGGTCACCTCACCCTTCGGGGTCCCTGTCGACTGGCAACCCAGGCCGCACTGGTGACAGAGAGTCCACTCCTTGTGGCCAGCCTTGTTGTTAGAAAGCTCCTCTTCCTTCTATGGAACTGAATCTGACTTCCTGTAACCATTCCCTCCTTCTGGGCAGGTTAATACAGTGCGAGATGGAGAAGGAGCAGGGAGAAGTGTCTATGAGGACACTTAATGCCTTGCCTCAGCAGACCAGCGGGAATGGGTCTGCCTCTTGGGGCTGGCAGGGCATCGCTGTGTGATCTGGTCACGTGTGTAAGGGCCCAGGACTGGGCACAGGGTAATACTCAGGCCATTTCCCTTCCATCCCTTTGGCTCCAACGCTGTGGCCGCAGAGCGGGCCTGGCCACTCTCCAGGAGGTCCCCCTAAAGCTTGGGTGGGAGGTGGGGCACCTGAACACTCAGCATCACAGGTGGTTCATTCTAGCAGCTACATCTCAATGACAGCTCCTGTTAAGGCAAAGGGCAGCTGCAAAATTCTAGGGTGTTTTTTCCCCCATACTCCTGTGGCCAAGCCAACGTGCCCTTGTACTGTATTTGTGTATCGATTGTTGACATGATTCTGAACCTTGATTCTGTCCGTTTTCAGTGCTTCTGAGATGCATGCCTCCCACCTTGCATCCATATTTTTGTTCAAGTCATTGATTAAGACTTAGAAGTGGATGAGGTGAGGTGAAGGCCCCAAGCCCCACCATGACTCTCTCCAGTCCACATGAACCCATTGATCACTTCCTTTGAAGCCATGCCTTCTAGGAGAGAAGCCTCAGCATTGGTGACCTCGTCCTTTCCTACCCTTTCCCTAGGTCCCATCGCTAACATGCCTGGGGATTTGTCACTCAGACTCGCTGAACTCATGTCCTCTTTTGGCCCTTGCCCACAGCCAGGCTCTTGCAGTAGGAGAATGGGGTTGCCAGACCATAGAGAAGCAGTAGGTTGGGGACTGAGCTGGGAGAGGGAAGGAGGGTCTGAGCAGACCCCTTGGGGAGGAGGCTGAGGCCTGGGTTCGCATCACTTGGGAGAAACAGGAGGAGAATAGAGCTGGGGCTGGGGCTGGTCAAGACCAGGAAGCTGACTCTAAGAGGCCCTTTTGGTTACCTATGCCTGGACACTCTGGGCTCACCCCTGACCTTGGAAGTGTGTGTGGGAGGCTCTTTCTCCAGACCTCTGTGTCCCTGCAGCCACTGCTGCTGCCCCTCCCCCTCCACAGGAATTTGCATTCGTCCCCTTGATGGCTAGCTCTGTGCCTGTGGTCAGCCTGACATTTGCATGGAAACTTCCTCATCCTGGGGCCTGGGGGAAGAGGGCCAGACCCCTCCTCATTGCCCTGGGGCTCTGGCCTGTCCCTGAGTAGCAGGATGGGGTGGCCAGAGGGCTCCTGGATAGGCCAGGAGACTCTGAAGGTCTTTGAGCTGTGGTCGTCTCTGGGCTGGAGTGAGATGCCCTCTTCCCCACCCCCCATTTTTGCGGTTGGAAAATGTCCCCCCCTCCCGAGGTCCCTGGGCTGAGGAAACCTCACAACCTCACTTCTCACTCTCTCCCCAGAAGGAGTTTTGTGTTTTTTCCATCACGTGGTTTCCTGTGGGGCTGGGCATTGTGGGGCTACAGTTTCCTCCTGGGAAGGGGGTGTGCTTCGGGGAAAGGTCCTAGTTCTGCTTTCTGCCCTTTAGAGCCCCTTTGAGCCCCTCTGAACCCCAGCCTCCTCTTCAATGGCATCATCCTGGGCACCCCAGAGCCCCCCAAACCACTCTCCCCTGCTGGTTGTCTACCTTGCCTGCCTCCCTGGAGGAGCTCTTTCCATCAGGCCTCCCTGGTGACTTCCGTCTCTCCCATCTCCATGGCTCTCTGTGGTTTGACCTTTGGCTGCTTTCCTCTTGGTCACCGTCCTCTTTCCCTAGCCTAGCCCCATCTTTCACGGAGACCCTTCCTGGTTTCTCCCTCCAAATATCCTGGACAGGGCCTGCCTTCCTGCCTTTGTATTAAACTTCCAGAGGTGGACCTGATGAGCACTCCTGAGGTTTGCTCGTTATCAGCAAGGGCCTTGGGCCAGTGTGCAATGGACAACCTCAGTGTCCTCATCTGTAAAATGGGCATGGAACCTGCCTCTTTGTGTTTTGTGAGTAACGGACCTAAATATGGTGGTGGGATTGGAAGCATCTAGCATAGTGCCTGGCCCCTCACAGGTACTGTTTCCCTGTCCCTCCCTGTGAGCCTCTCAGTGACTGCCCCTCGGCCCAGGACTCATCTTCCCCGATGCTGCCCTTTCTAGGTGGTACCATGGCCACATGTCTGGGGGGCAGGCGGAGACACTGCTGCAGGCCAAGGGTGAGCCCTGGACGTTTCTTGTGCGTGAGAGTCTCAGCCAGCCTGGAGATTTTGTGCTGTCTGTGCTCAACGACCAGCCCAAAGCTGGCCCAGGCTCCCCGCTCAGAGTCACCCATATCAAGATCATGTGTGAGGTAAGGCAGCCTGGCAGGGGGGGAGCCCCTTGCTGGGGCGTGGGCGGTGGGGAGAGTCAGCCAGGCTTCCGGCCAAGGCTGGGGGTAGAGGGAGAGAGGGAGACTTGGGCCCTGAGGGCTGGCCTGACTTGGTATCCCTCAGGGTGGACGCTACACGGTGGGCGGTTCAGAGACCTTCGACAGCCTCACGGACCTGGTGGAGCATTTCAAGAAGACGGGGATTGAGGAGGCCTCGGGAGCCTTTGTCTACCTGCGGCAGGTGAGGCGTGGGCCTGGCTGCGTCCTTCCTCCCCCTGTGCAGTCCCGCCGCCTCGGAGCCTCTGAGATCGGGCAGTGACTGACTTCTCGCCCCGCGCCCACCCTAGCCATACTACGCCACGCGGGTGAATGCGGCCGACATCGAGAACCGGGTCTTGGAACTGAACAAGAAGCAGGACTCGGAGAACACAGCCAAGGCTGGATTCTGGGAGGAGTTTGAGGTGCATGACGGGGACCATGAGGGTGACCGGCATGGGGTGCTGGCAGACCCCACTCCCTCTCTCCGTACCTGATACTGATCTGCCCCAGGCTCTCTCCCGCCATAGACGCCCCTCTTGGGGCTGGCACTCCATTGCCCCTTCTCGCCCCTCAGAGTCTGCAGAAGCAGGAGGTGAAGAACCTGCACCAACGGCTGGAAGGGCAGCGGCCAGAAAACAAGAGCAAGAACCGTTATAAGAACATTCTCCCATGTGAGCATCCCCATGGCCTCCCTCCCTCCCCCTCCCAGAAGGCCTCCCTCCCCCTCCCCCATGGCCTCCCTTCCCCCTCCCCCATGGGCCCCATCCCTCCCCCCATGGCCTCCCTCCTCTCACCATGGCCTCCCTCCCTCCTCCCCCCATGGGCCCCATCCCTCCCCCCATGGCCTCCCTCCTCTCCTCATGGCCTCCCTCCCCCTCCCCCCATGGGCCCCATCCCTCCCCACATGGCCTCCCTTCCCCCTCCCTCCATGGCCTCCCCCTCCCTCCCCTTATGGTCCCCATTCCTCCCCCCATGGCCTCCATCCCTCCCCCTCCCCCCATGGCCTCCATCTCTCTCCCTCCCCCCATGGGCCTCATCCCTTGTCCTCCCCCCATGGCCTCCATCCCTCCCCCTCCCCCATGGCTCCTATCCCTCTCCCTCCCTCCATGGCCTCCATTCCTCCCCCTCCCAAGCAGCATCCACCCAGGAGATTCTCCTTCCCTCAGCCAACCTCCCCCATCTCCTAGGATCCCTACCCCCAGCTCAGGGAGGATCCATCTCCCACCCACACAACAGAACCTCCCCTTCTTCAAAAACCCTCTAATTCCCCCAAGCCTCCCACACCGGCCACCCTCTCCACCCTCCTTCCTTTGAAACCTCCACTTCCATGCCTGCAGCTGCCCTGCCTGCCCTCAGTGCTCCGAGAGCCTCATGGCTTCTCAGACAAGAATGGCCTGTGAGCTTGGGAAGGGTCCGATCCAGGGGCTGGTGAGCTCCTGCTGACCCAGACCCTTCTTGCTTCCTCCCTGCCCACTCTCAGTCGACCACAGCCGAGTGATCCTGCAGGGGCGGGACAGTAACATCCCCGGGTCCGACTACATCAACGCCAACTACATCAAGGTCTGTGCCGCCCACCAGTCACACAGGAGGAGGGCTGGGCCCTGGGAACTCCCCATCTCAGGGAGGTACCAGGTCCAGACACATGGGCAAAGCCAAAGCTGACGACTCACGTGGGTGAGGGTAGTGGGGACGCAGGACTGTCCCCGGCCAAGAGGCTCATGGTCCCGGTGTGTGTGTCTCTGCACCAGAACCAGCTGCTAGGCCCTGATGAGACCTCGAAGACCTACATCGCCAGCCAGGGCTGCCTGGAGGCCACGGTCAACGACTTCTGGCAGATGACGTGGCAGGAGAACACCCGTGTCATCGTCATGACCACCCGAGAAGTGGAGAAAGGCCGGGTAGGGCCGAGCTCCTCGCTACCCCCTGATCCCCACATCCCCTCCCCGGTACTCATTGTCCACCACCACTAAACCAAAGAATTCCAGGGCAGAAAGGCACCTCCGAGGGCAAGGGTCCAACCCTTGTTGGGAAACAGGCACAGAGGCAAAGTCTTGGGTACACCCTGACTCCCCAGATCTCTGCTTCCAGCCTTGGGCACTCCTGACCACCAGACTCAGGTTTTATTTATTTACTAGAGGCCGGACGCACAAAATGTGTGCAAGGGTAGGCCCTCACAGCCCTGGCTGCCGCAGCCCTCACTGGCTCCCAGCTGCCTCGCAGCCCCACCCACTGGTAGTTCCAGAAGGTTGCTCTGGAAGGTCATTTAGCCTCTGGTCTAATTAGCATATTAGCTCTTTATTATATAGGATTTTTAAAATACATTTTTATTGGTTTCAGAGAGGATGGAAGAGGGAGAGAGAGAGAGAAACATCAATGATGAGAGAGAATGATTGGCTGCCTCCTGCATGCCCCCCACTGGGGATGGAGCCTGCAACCCAGGCATGTGCCCTGACTGGGATTTGAACTGCGACCTCCTTGTTCATAGGTTGACGCTCAACCACTGAGCCATGCTGGCCGGGCCAGACACAGGTTCTAAATGGGCCTTCTGCCTTGAAGTGTCCAGAAGCAAACATTCCACCGATGGGGAAGAGCCCCTCTTGTCCCCTCTGCCTCAGAAATCTCTCTGGAATCCCCCCCCCCCCCCCCACCTGCACAGAGCCTATCCTGGAGCCAAAGTGACCCGTCCAAATTGCGAACTGTTGCCTTCAGGACAGTCACACTCTAAGAGTGGCGGTCAAGGCCTGGAGGCTTCTCCGAGACGCCACTGCCTCCAGTGGGCCCGGCCCTTCTAGGTTGCTGTGCCTTTGCACAAGCTCGTTTGCTGCTAGGAAACGACTTCCTCTCTCCACGCTATCTCTGCCTGACAGACTGCTCATGTGTGAAGACCCAGTCCAAATGCTCCCTCCTCTGAGAAGCCATTTCTGATTTCCTCCTTAACGAGAGGGAGACTTAGCCTCTCCCTCCAGCTTGCTCCACGGTTGCCCGCCCAGCTGTCTCTCCGTGAGCTCCTGGAGTCCCAGACTGCATCTTACTTGTAGTTGTAGCACCTGCCTGGCTCGCACAGCCGATGTGGACTGAAGGACTTGTCAGGTGGCTGGGCAGGACTCAGCACTGGATCCTCAGGCTCTAACTCTTGGCTAGTCCATCCATTCCTCTAAACCAGTGGTTCTCAACCTTCTGGCCCTTTAAATACAGTTCCTCATGTTGTGGTGACCCCCAACCATAACACTGTTTTCGTTGCTACTTCATAACTGTAATGTTGCTACTGTTATGAATCGTAGTGTAAATATCTAATATGCAGGATGGTCTTAGGCAACCCCTGTGCAAGGGTCGTACGACCGCCAAAGGGGTCGCAACCCACAGGTTGAGGACCGCTGCTCTAAGCGATGTTGACTGGGCCAGCACCAGGACCCAGGACCTAGAGCAGGGCCCAGAGCACCCTGTGTCCCGCCTGCTTCCGCGCCTCATGCTCGCCTCCGCCTTCCCTTCCAGAACAAATGTGTCCCGTATTGGCCAGAGGTGGGCACTCAGCGTGTGTATGGATCCTACGCTGTGACCAGCTGTGGGGAACAAGACACGGCTGAGTACAAACTCCGCACCTTACAGGTCTCCCCACTGGACAATGTGAGTGTCCCCCACCCTTGCCCCCTCTCGGGCCCTCCTTGTTGGTTGGGAGGGGGATGGAGCCATGTGTGGAGCAGGGGGCACTGACTCGGTGCACTGGGTCCAGGAGAACCTGGTGCGGGAAATCTGGCACTACCAGTACCTGAGCTGGCCTGACCATGGGGTCCCGAGTGAGCCTGGGGGCGTCCTCAGCTTCCTGGACCAGATCAATCATCAGCAGGAAAGTCTGCCTCACGCAGGGCCCATCATCGTGCACTGCAGGTGAGGATGATAAAGACGTCAGTAGTAGCTGGCAAGTAAGTACCGTACTGCTGAGGCCCACACACTATTGTCAGCAATTTACGGATTAACCAGCCTCTCCCGGTTCCCTGATGGCTGCAGATCCATGGGTGGAACTGAGCGTGCACCAGCCCCACTGTCGGACCCTGTGCCAGGGAGTGGCTTTCTCAGAGCCCCCTGGATGTACCATTTTGTCCAACTCTGCCAAAGGCAGATGAAGACACAGGCCCAGCCCCGTGGCAGGTCACCCGGGTCAGGACAGAGCCTAGACGAGGTCCCCGTCATGGTTTCTGGCATTGGCCCATTCAGCCCGTTTCTTCTTGGCACCCACACCCTCCATGAGGGGCAGTGTGGCTCCCCATCTCTTCTCCTTTCCCACCTGTAGCTCTGCGAGTGAGGGAGTGAGGGGGCTTCTTCGTTGTTGTTGTTGCTCCCATCTCCCCTTCCCAGCCAGTGTCCCCAGCTTGGCTCCAGAGCGTGTAGGGACGGCGATGTTCAGGACGGGCACAGGCGTCATAGCTCCAGGGGAGACCCTCATGTTCATGATCAGGAGAGCCCATTCCCTGGGGAGGTGGGGGTTCAGCGAGGAGGTCTGAGGGCAGAGTCCTGCAGGTCACTGTCCCGGCCAGCCTGGCCCGGCGGATGGGCGCAGTGGGCACCGGGTCCAGGGCGGCTGGTTTAAATTCCGGCTCCTCTCCTCACTGGCTGGGTGGCCTTGGACACATTGCTTCACTGCTGTGACCCTCAGATTCTCAACCGTCAAGTCAGGATCTCACAGGGCTGTGGTGAGGATTAAATGAGAGCCTATCACTGTGTCTGGAATATAGTAAACACTCAAGAAGTGGGAGCTGTGCTGTGTCCCCTCCCTGCTTCCTGTGAGCCGGGCCTGAGGGCCTGACTCCTGCCCGCCTGCAGCTGCGCTTCCTGGCAGGGCTGGGAGGCCTGGATCTGCAGGTGCCCCCTCCCTCCATGCTCCGCTCCCAGGGGCTGCTCTGCATCCATCACCAGGAACAACCCTCCCGCTCACCGCCGCCCCCCCCATTCTTGAAATCCCCATGGTCTTTATTTAGACGTTACAGGAAGGAAGTGGGTGCAGGGGGTTTATTTTTTGACAATCTGGGTTTGAAATTAGCGAGACTTGGCACCAGCCTGATGGGCGCAGTGAAGGGGCAGGACTGAGGGCATGTGGGGCCCTGAGGTTCCAGGCCCTGTTTGCCCAGGCGGGGAGAAGCGGGGAAGGCTTGCTGCTGCACGGCTCCTCCACGGCTCCTGTGCGCCCTGCACCTGCTGTCTGAGGGCTGTCCTTCTCCTGCAGCCAGGCTCTGAAGAAAAAGGGAAATGAAGCCCTGAAGAAAGAAGCTCCAGATATAACCTTTGAAGGGAGAAGGGGAAGGCCTCGCTCAGGCCAAGGGTTTGGGAGGTCAGGGGAGTGGACAGGACGGTGGTGGGACGGGATCCTGGGTCTTCTGGGGGCGGGGGCAGCAGTCACTGGCCAGAAATGAGGCGTCAAGGTAGGGGGTGGAGGAAGTGGCAAGAGAGGGACGGCTGGAGCTGAGCTCTGGCCCCTTCCTGGGGGGTAGGGGGGGTGGCCCTGGCCTCTGAGGGCGCCCCTTCTCTCCCCAGCGCGGGCATCGGCCGCACGGGCACCATCATCGTCATCGACATGCTCATGGAGAGCATCACCACCAAGGGTGAGGCTGCCGCGGGCGCAGGGGGAGGTGGGTGAGCAGCTCCTCCGTGTCCCTCTCCACCTGGGCCTGAGGTCCAACTGCCATCCCTGCTCAGGCCTGGACTGTGACATTGACATCCAGAAGACCATCCAGATGGTGCGGGCCCAGCGCTCGGGCATGGTGCAGACGGAGGCGCAGTACAAGTTCATCTACGTGGCCATCGCCCAGTTCATTGAAACCACCAAGAAGAAGCTAGAGGTCATGCAGGTGTGTTCCCAGCAGGGCCTGGGCGGGGTGGGGGTGGGGGGCTGCGGAGGGCTGTGGGCATCACCTGGTCCTGGGGAGCCCACTGCCCTCCCACCACTTCTGCCTACAGTCCCAGAAGGGCCAGGAGGCCGAGTACGGGAACATCTCCTACCCCTCAGCCATGAAGAACACCCACGCCCAGGCCTTCCGCACCTCCTCCAAGTGAGTGCCCCGCCCTGCCTGCCGCCTCCCAGCTCCCAGCGTCCTCCGGTGTCTCCTCCCCAGCTTGGCCCGCCCTTTCCAGAGTGCACAGGGCTGCTCTTGAGGAGGCCTGGGTTCAAGGTCCAGCTTGATTCTCACTGCCTGTGCGTGTTTCCCCAGTGCTGTCTGCCTGGGGCCCGTGCTGGGGGCGGGCGGTGTCTAGTGTGAGGACAGTGACCAGGCCTCCCCACTTTCCTGGCCTCAGTTTACTCGCCTGTGAGGTAGAGGGACCAGAGGCGGCTGCTGGTGCTGGGTAACCCTGCACTGTCTCCCGACCTGTGCCAACTGCCCACGCTTGCCCACCCCCCTGCAGGCACAAGGAGGATGTGTACGAGAATCTGCAGAGTAAGAGCAAGAAGGAGGAGAAGGTGAAGAAGCAGCGGTCAGCAGACAAGGACAAGAGCAAGGGCTCCCTCAAGAAGAAGTGAGCTGGGCACCGTCCTGAGGTGGCCATGGTATGGCCCCTGTGCTCAGGGCTCTGCCCTGCCCCAGTGTCCCCTGGCCCCTCTCTCAGGGCTCTCCCTGCCCTGTCTCAGTGTCCCCTGGCCCCTCTGTCAGGGCACTCCCTGCCCTGCCCCAGTGTCCCCTGGCCCCTCTGTCAGGGCTCTCCCTGCCCTGCCCCAGTGTCCCCTGGCCCCTCTGTCAGGGCTCTCCCTGCCCTGCCCCAGTGTCCCCTGGCCCCTCTGTCAGGGCTCTCCCTGCCCTGCCCCAGTGTCCCCTGGCCCCTCTGTCCGGGCTCTCCCTGCCCTGCCCCAGTGTCCCCTGGCCCCTCTGTCAGGGCTCTCCCTGCCCTGCCCCAGTGTCCCCTGGCCCCTCTCTCAGGGCTCTCCCTGCCCTGCCCCAGTGTCCCCTGGCCCCTCTGTCAGGGTTCTCCCTGCCCTGCCCCAGTGTCCCCTGGCCCCTCTCTCAGGGCTCTCCCTGCCCTGCCCCAGTGTCCCCTGGCCCCTCTCTCAGGGCTCTCCCTGCCCTGCCCCAGTGTCCCCTGGCCCCTCTCTCAGGGCTCTCCCTGCCCTGTCTCAGTGTCCCCTGGCCCCTCTGTCAGGGCTCTCCCTGCCCTGCCCCAGTGTCCCCTGGCCCCTCTGTCAGGGCTCTCCCTGCCCTGTCCCCAGTGTCCCCTGGCCCCTCTGTCAGGGCTCTCCCTGCCCTGCCCCAGTGTCCCCTGGCCCCTCTGTCAGGGCGCTCCCTGCCCTGTCCCAGTGTCCCCTGGCCCCAATGTCAGGGCGCTCCCTGCCCTGTCCCAGTGTCCCCTGGCCCCTCTCTCAGGGCTCTCCCTGCCCTGTCCCCAGTGTCCTCTGGATCTGGTGCTCACCCTGGATGGGTGACAGGCTCAGCCTTCCCAGACTTGCTCTTGTCCCCCTCCTCAGGCTCCAGCCACCCCCTTAACTCCCTTACTCCCTTCTCTCTGCAGCCTCAGCCCTGTCCCCTTAGAGAAGTCTCCAGAGAACAGCAGCAGCCTGAACCTAGGAGCTGCCCGCCCAACTCCATTGTAATTTAAATGGTCGTGTTACCACCTCCCTCTCCCAGACTCTGTAAATAGCCCAGCAAGGCTCCAGGCGGGGCCAGACCCTCCTACACTGTAAATAAAGCCCCTAGGATCACGGTGTTTGGGTCTCTAACTCTGCTGCCTGGTGGGAAGGGCAGGAGGGGGTGAAGAGGGAGGTGGGCAGGGAGCGTGTGTGTGTGTGTGTGTGTGTGTGTGTGTGTGTGTGTGTGTGTGTAAAAGCTCCACCTTTAGGTACAGACAGACAGACCTGGTTCTGGGCTCTGCTTAACCCACTAGGAGTGTGCCGGTGGCCCCGGTTCCCCAGGCTCTTTCCTGGAAAGGGGAGGAGGATCCTAACAGGGTGGCTGTGAAGATCACTGAGATAAGGCGTGATGATTGCAAGGGCAACAAAGTTATTACACGCTTGCCATGTGTCAGGCACTGTTTACTTTTTTAATTTTATTTTTTTAAATCCTCACCCAAGGATGTTTTTTCATTGATTTTTAGGGAGAGTGGAAGAGGGAGGGAAAGACAGAAATATCGATGTGAGAGAGACACATCGAATGGTTGCCTTCTGCGTGTGCCCCCACCAGGGCCTGGGCTGGGGAGGAGCCTGCAACCGAGGTACATGCCCTTGACCAGAATCGAACCCGGGACCCTTTGGTCCGCAGGCTGACGCTCTATCCACTGGGCCAAACCCACCAGGGCGGCACTGTTTACTTTCATTTATTTGTTTTCCATAAGAGTTTATTTGAGCCAAACTGACCACAGATGCCAGGGAGCACGATGAATGCTCCTCCTGTCAGGCACTGTTTAAAAGACCACATGTATTGTCCTGGCTGGGGTGGCTCAGTTGGTTGAGCATCATCCTGTGCAGCAAAAGGTCACCTTGTCAGGGCACTTACCCAGGTTTCAAGTTTGATCCCCGGTCAGAGTGCATACAGGAGGCAACTGAACGATGTTTCTCTCTCTCCCTTCCATTCTCTCTACAAAGCATCAATAAAAACATTAAAAAACCTGCATGTTTTAATTCAGTCTGGGTATCTATCATTCCCACTTTACAGTGGGGGGAACTGAGGCACAGATTAATAACTTGCTCAAGGTCACAGAACAATTGAGCAGTGAAGCTAAGGTTTTAACTCAGGCCGTCACGTCCCAGAACCCACACGCCTGGAGATGCAGCTGAAGTCACTGAGGGGGGTGGGGGTGGGACCACACACTTCTGGTGCCGACTTAGGTCCAAGAGCTAAGAAAGTACATAGAGGCCAGGAAGCTCAGGGCCAGGGCCGCCCTGGCTCCCCCCCCCCCCCCCGGGCTCCCGGTGCCCCCATTCCTCCCTTCCACGGGCCCTTTTGCTCCTGATTCATTTTATTTTTGTCCTCTCTTCCTTTCCCGGTGTCCAGAGTGGGCTGCCAGTGGTTCCTTCTTTGTGTTACGTCTTTACCTAACTCCTGGGGAGTTAAGCCTGTGCGCGTCCCCCTGCTGGGCAGGCTCAGGAGTAGGCCCAGTCCTGATAGATGTTGGCTGACTGTCCTTCGTTCAGTATATACTTTTTTTGAGTGTCCACTGTGCTGCGGGCACTGGAGTCACGCTGGGGTGCGAGGATGGACAAGACAGCTCCTCTCCTTGTGGAACTTAGGAGGGTGGTAGGGGAGACAGACCCACAGACACATGTGAAGTACAGAAGGATGCAAACAAAACAAAGGAAGGAGGGAGGGAGGGAGGGAGAGGATCAGATTGGGCGACACAATAGCTCCCTGGGGCTAATGCTCTCCGGGGGGTGGGGGTGGGGCCTTCACCTGTGCACCTGTGGGCCTCAGGGCCCCTCTCCCAGCAACGCCCTTTCTTTCCCAGCTACAGCTGCACAAAAGAAAGGTAGGCCCCACACCCTCTAACCGCTGTTGGGCTCCCTGCCATGGGCTGGGACTTGGACCCAGGGCAGTGAGGTGGGTCCCAGAGTGGCTGGGCTCTGTGACTTTGGTCCCTCCCGGGAACAGAGCACAGTCCCCAGTCCCTCCTCCCTGAAGGACGCCTGCAGGGGCTGAAGGAGAGCAGCTCAGTCCTTTAGTTGTCTAGGTCAGCACTGATGCTCATGGCTAGGTCAGGTCGAGCCTCTCAGCAGAGGCAGGCACCCTAAAGCGGGGGCTGAGGACAGGGAGACGCCATGCTAAGACCGGTCTGCCCTCCACAGGCAGGGATGCCCAGCACAGGTGGGGCCGTGGGCCTGGGCACAACCCACCCCTGCCAAGCGAACCTGTGGCTGACCTCAGGGATCTCCGGCCTCCAGGTCTGGCCATGAGCAGGGTCGGAGGCCTCAGAGAGTAGCTGAGGAGAGAGCTCAAGGAGGTAGGCCAAGGGGCCCCAAAGCCCCTCCCTTTGTCCCGCTGGAGACAGACCAGTCGGCCTGATCTAGGCCTGGGGCAGAGGTGCTGCTAGGCGAGCAGACGCAGATAGAAAAGGGTGGGGGGGTGGTGGTTAGCGGGGCGGTAGAACTCAGAGGAGGCTCCTAGGGCTGGCGCTGGGAGGCAAGGGGTTAAGGCAGTGGGGGGGCAGCCTATGGCAGGAGGACACACCTGTACGCAGGGGCGGCAGGCGGGGCCCAGGTGAGGAGCCTGCGCTGCCTGCCGGTGGAGAAGGAAGAAGGAAGAGTGGAGGCCAGGGCGGCGGTTGAATCCTGGGCCTGACTCCCCTTCCTCTCCTCAGCACTCACTCTCTGGGGGTCAGGTGGCCTGGTGACAGGTAAAGGCCTGGGAGAGGGGCCCTGGGGCTGAGCAGGGAGTGCAGAGGGCCCGTGAAGGCCACGGACGGGTCTGTGGGGACAGGGACAGGCTGTGTGGGTGGTGGGGGAAGGGGCTCGGAGGCCGAACACAGGTGGGCCGGGGGCTGCTGAAGCTTGGCCTGGCCGCAGTGGACCCACCGTTCAGGGGGAGCTGGTGGCAGGCTGCAGGGCTCACCCGGAAATGTCCCCCAGGGACGCGGGTGTGGGGGGGGAGGGGAGCTAGGGCTCTGCAGCCTCTCCAGAGGGAGCCTGGGCCTCGGACTGCCTGCCCGGGAGGTGGGCCGGCTGGGTGGGGGCCCCCGTCTTACCCAGCAGTGTTTGGGTGCTGGTCGGGAGTCTCTAATACTGCCGGGTAATGATGGAGGCCCCCGTCCCTGTGTCAGCGACCATCCTTTGCCTCAGGCCCCGGCAGGCTGCAGCCCCCCACGGCTGGCCCTCCCCCCGCACCCCGGAATCCCCTCCATCTGCAGTGGAGGGTGCTGCAAACGAAGTGGCTCTTGGTTGGCGAGTTGCCCACTGGACACAATGGTTCTGAGCCCCTCCCCCAGCCCGGAGTGATTTGTCATCTGCTGGATCCAGAACGCACAGCCGACCGTGAGCTTGGGATTGGCTCACTCCTCTCAAGAGACCTCACCTGGCCTGCGGCCAGGTCCCTGTAGCAACTGGCCCGCTCCGGCCGGAGTGCGTGTCCCGGCTCTGGGCCCATCTTCCAGTACAGTGTTGGATGGTCTAATCGCGAAGCTCCTAACACTGTCTGGTAAAGATGGCCCCCGGGCCGGTCCCCTCGGCAGTGACCTTCAGGGAGCCCTGAAGACCGTGGAGGCCTCCTGACCACCCCCTTTGACCTTTACCCCTCTGGATGGGGGTGCAAGTCACTAAGAAAAGGGGAACAATGGGGAGGAGACAAAATGGCTGCCCCAGGACTTGAAAACACGCTTGCTCTCCAGGCAGCTCCACGCTCTTCCCGCCCTGGAAGCACGAAGGAAATAGTGTGGATGGGACCTGTGGCCGCCGACTCAGTTACCCCACCCTTCTTGTCTGTCGATCTCATCTTCGGCTCCCGGCTCCGGGGGCGTGGGCTGCCACGTCGGCTTCCCTCCCTGCCTCTTTCATGACATTCGACCTGCAGAACAGGGAAAGTCAATCTCCGGCTTAAAAAATCCAAGAAGCTGAAGACGAGCCCAGTCCCTCACCCTGGAAGGCTCCCCTCCTCCCCACCAGCTTTGTAATCCCTGCATGCGTTTGCCCCCAGTGCTGCCTCCCTACAGGGACAAGGGATGGGAGGTGGACTGTATGGCGCCAGGCACAGCGGTAGCTTCATTTCCCTGGTGGTTGAGATTCAGGGAGCCGTTTTGGGAAGATGAGGCCTGTCCTGTAGGGATTGAAAACAGGCACCTGTTCCGCTGGGGGCCCGGAGCTGTGGGAGTGAGCTCACCCCCGCAGGTGGAGCCGTTTCATAGGTTCCTCACCCCTGGTGATTGTGAAATTGGCAGTGAGTAGCTCTCAGCAGGAAACACGACCCACGGGGCCATTTTTTATCCTCACCCGAGGATAATTTTCCGTTGATTTTTAGAGTGGGAGAGGGAGACAGAAACATTTGACTTGAGAGAAACACATGGATTGGTTGCCTCATGCATGTGCCCTGACCAGGGAGGAGCCTGCAACCCAGGTACATGCCTTTGACTGGAATCGAACCCGGGACCCTTCAGTCTGCAGGCTGATGCTCTATCCACTGAGCCAAACCAACTCGGGCCCACGGGGCCTTTGAGCACATAAGCCCCTGATAGGCTGAGTGGTCTCCCCCACAGCTGCATGGAACCGTTACCAAGGAAGCAGCTCTTGTTGGGGTCATCATATTTTTGGTCTAGCTCAGCAAAGCCACAGCTGCTCGTCTTAAAAAAAATGTAGATGTCGGTAAATAAACGGGGTGATGTGGTAGAAACGGAGGGTGGGGTGGGAAGTGCAGCTGGGCTGGTTTTCAGCTTGGGCCCTAATTTCTGACTCTTGGACTTCCAGGGTGAGCAGGGCCCAGGCCTGCCAGTCCTGTACTGCCCTGACCAGAGCCGGTGCGCCCCCTGCCGGCAAAGACAAAGAAAGACGCAGAGTGTTATGTGAGAATGCGCAGGCGCACTCCCCCCTCCCCGCAGCCAGGCCCATGGAGCCTTGACTTTTGCTTCAGTAATAAAAATTTATTGAGAATTCCTGGGATGGTGGTTATTGCCTCCCAACCTTGAGAGAGGAGCCAACGCTGCAGGAAATCACTGAGAAATCACACACTGTCCCAGCCACCCTGCCAACACAGGGAGGAGGAAGTCATTCCCGACCATGGGTCAGTCTTCATCTGAGAAGGGTGGGACGACAGGTACAGAGGGGACCATCACATGATACTGGGGGCAGGGTGGGGGTGTGCTGGACCCCAAGCCGGCTCCTCAAACACCAGGGCAGAAACAGATCCACTTCTCCGCTGGGGGTGGAGTTCTTGGTCAGCAGGTTCACTTCTTAGTCTTGAGGAGGCTGTCACTGTGGACAGGAGATGGATGACATTATTAGAAGACATAAATGTGAGAGGAACGGCACCATGGCCACTCCCTTCAAGGTCACAGGAACCACCCTCCTTCCTGATTAGGGGTGTGTGAGGAAGGTTAGGTGGTGGGGAGAAGGCAGGTACTGGGAGATGAGCTGCAAGACCCCATGGAAACAAGGATGCACCATCAACTTACCTTCCCCTGTGGACACCAGGTCACCAGATAAACAGGAAACACAAAAAGAGAAGAAAAATGCAGAGGTGATTTTCAGTTCAGGCCTCACCTAGCTCTAAACCCTCTGTGCTCCCAAGAGAAAAAGGGTTGGAAGCCAGGACCTTAGGCTCTGGAAAGGAGACTAGTCCCCTCAGCACTGCCATCTCTCACCTCTCCTTTCCTAGCATCCTTCCATGCCCAGAGCAGCAATGTTAGGGCTCCTGAGTAAGAAAACTGAATACCATCTTTCACCACTTGTCAGTAGACAAAACTTTACAATTAAAGTGCCCCCCCCTTTTTTTTAAAAAAAAATTGATTTGAGAGAGAGGAAAGGAGAGAAACATCGGTCAGCTGCCTCCCATGTGTACCCTGACCAGGCATCAAACCTGCCACCTTTTGGGTACAGGACAAAGCTCCAACCAACCGAGCCACACTGGCCAGAGCGAAAATGTTTTTCACATGAATAATCCTATTTTCATAAAACCAATCATATGAGATTCAAGTCACCAACACTTTCTATCTTCTGGTTCAGAGGAATGGTGTCTTTCAAAGGTCACAGGAATAAGCTAGTAACTGGCTCCGGAGCTCAGGAGACTGGACTTATACCCCATGTTCTTTGTGGCCCCCCACTGTGTAGGGCACATCTCTCACCGGGTGAAACTTTCATCCTGCAGGTTCAGCACAAGGTTGTCAGCAGTGAGATAGATACGATTCTGTGATGTGGCAATCTACCGGGCAGGAAACAAGACAGATGCGTGTATTAAGCAAGGCTTCCATTCCTATTCTGGCATTCAGTACCACAGACGGGACATACGTGGGTTAGGAGCAGGGATGCAACAATGAGAAAGACATGGTTTCTGTTATCACACACAGACCCAGAGCAGCAAGCAACTGTGATTGTGCTGGTATAACAGAGGCATGAGCAAAAGGTGAAGGGAATCCACAGGAACTGTGTTTGTTTTGATCCTCACCCGAGGGTATTTTCCCCATTGATTTCCAGAAAGTGAGGGGGAGGGAGAAACATCTGATGTGAGAGATACATGGACTGGTTGCCTCCTGCCCGCATGTGCCCCTACTGCAGTTGGAGAACCTCAACCGAGGTACATGGCGACCCTTTGGTCCAAGGCTGAAGAAATTGTTTTTGATGATGGGAAGTGTCAGTTTGAGCAGAAACCTGAATGAGCACGATTCTAACCACCACACTTCATTGCCCCCAGGAAGCCCCGAGGGATACTAGGCTCTTACACTCACCGTCTTGGAGATGTTCTGGGCCGCCCGGATCTTTCGTAGCTTGATGTAGCCTGGGTTCTTGCCCAGTGCTTCTCCAAGGTGAGCAGGGAGGGGTTAAGGGTTCACACAAGGCAAGTCTCATTCTCTGGCCCCATCCTTACTCCTCCCGTCACGCCAGCCCTCCTCTGGGCTGTCAGATCCAAGGTTGCGCTCAGGTGGCTCGTGCCTAGTCTTACTTTGGTCCTCACCTGTGGGCCCCCCTGTAGGCAGCTGCCAGGAACTAGAGGCAGCAGCGGAAATGGAGGTAAGGCCAGCAATACTATTGATCTGCTTTACAGTGAGGAGCCAAGCTCAGGTACCCCACTAAGATTTCACATCCCATTTGAGAACTCCACCCCCCAGGGAGCACGGAATCGCATTCGCCTTAGTTTCATCAGCCAGCCCATGAGGGAGGAAAAGGGAGGATGGGAAAGCAATGTGCCTCAGGGGTGAGCTGAGATCTCTCCATCAGAAGGATATCATCTTAGCGGCCTCAGCTTCACCCTCAGCCTGCACGATCTTCTGCCGCTGTTCCTGCTTTGCCTTTTCCACTAAGAACTGGGCCCGCTGGGCCTCTTGCTGCGCTGTGGTGGGAGTCAACAGGTCACAGATGTGAGGTGTCAGAAACCCCATGGCCCCCCCCCCCACTTTCTGCATTTTCAGAAACCCTTGACCCACTCCTCTGGTAACTCACCCACTTGTTTGGCTTCTACAGCAGCTGTGTACTCTCGGCTAAAGCTTAGCTCCGTGATGGCTACATCGTCCAGGATGAGGCTGAAGTCCTTGGCCCTCTCTGTCAACTCCCTTCGGATCAGCAGAGACACCTGGGGGTCGGAGGGAGGAGGGGAAGGGAAAGGTCTTTCGAGGGGACTGGAGAACTGAAAGGAAGGTGGGTTGCTGTGACCATCTGAATATCAGATCTTCTGAAAAAGGCAGAAAACTCACCAACCCTTCCTTAGTACCTACTGAGTGCTAGTCTTGGCTCTCCTTGTTCCCCACAGTGGCCATTAGTGACGCTTTTAGGTAGAAATGGACCTGGGGTCCCAACCTTTTCCTCATAATCTGCCTCTCCTAATACCCAGTGCCCCGGGTCTAGGAGGAAAACGCTGACACTATGCGGATGGTGATGGGAGCGGGGTCCAACCTGGGCCCGCTGGGTGATCAGCTGTGAGGCGTTGAACTTGGCCACCACGCTCTTGAGAACCTCGTTGACAATGGACGGCAACACTCGCTCCTCGTAGTCCAGCCCTAGGCGCTGATACATGCTGGGAAGCTCCAGGGCATTGGGTCGAGACAGCACCCGCAGGGAGATGTTCACCATCTGCAGGTCTAAGAGTGAGGTCAGCAGTGGCTGGTCACGGCCATGGGGCCTCATCTGGCCCCTCCGCCAAGCACCCTTCCCCACACCCTGTCTCCTCCACGTAATATCGTGCAGCCCGCTACGCCCCTGCAGGGAGGAGAGGAATCAGGCCGACAAGATGAGACTCGGCACAGGCCAAATGCATCCTTGTCCACAAGGGTGTTAGGCCTTCTCTATCCACAACCCCTCCACTAACAAAGGTAACCTCTCCTCTTCTCTCTTTGCCACTGTAACTGTTCGCAACCTCTACCGTAGGCGCTATAATAATCACCTGTCTTCTTTACTAGACCACCAGGGCTTATGGATGAGGACTGTGTTTTATGAATTCTTTATTCCCAGGAACTAGGGTTTAGGGCAGGGGTCCTCAAACTTTTTAAACAGGGGGCCACTTCACTGTCCCTCAGACCGTTGGAGGGCCGGACTATAGTTTAAAAAAAAACTATGAACAAATTCCTATGCACACCGTGGCGGCAAAAACACCCGGCGGACTGGATAAATGTTTTCGGTGGGCCGTAGTCTGAGGACCCCTGGTTTAGGGAATGAATGTTAAGTGACCGGCACTAAAAACAGTACAACAACGTTTATTACAGGTGAGCTACTTGCCTCAGTGTGAATATGCCTGTGTGTGTGTGTGTGTGTGTGTGTGCGTGAGAGTGAGATGAGGGATCAGGGGAATCCCAAAGGCACAGCTTCTAGGTACGTCTAGGCCAGGGGTGGGCAAACTTTTTGACTCGAGGGCCACAATGGGTTCTTAAACTGGACCGGAGGGCCGGAACAAAAGCATGGATGGAGTGTTTGTGTGAACTAATATAAATTCAAAGTAAACATCATTACATAAAAGGGTACGGTCTTTTTTTTTTTAGTTTTATTCATTTCAAATGGGCTGGATCCGGCCCGCGGGCCGTAGTTTGCCCACGGCTGGTCTAGGAGGAACCAGTGTACCAGTGGAGAATGGGACCAAGTTTCCCCAGGACAGGGCATACCAGGGGATACCATTAAGTCAAGCAGCTAAAACAACAACAACAAAACCTAGGAGTGAAGGACAAACCGTGCTCCCACTGAATTTATGTTAGGGGGTAGGAACAGTCAGTTAAAAAGTGCAAACACACAGCGTGCCCAGAATGTTTTGCTTTAACCGCAGAAGCAGGTACTTTAGTTCCAGCTGTGTTGCAGCTGTGGCACCACCATCTTCCCCGAGGGGCTCCTGCCAGCCTTCCCAGCGTCCAAACCTACCTTTCGAGCCTGTGGGGGAGGAAATTTTCCGTGGCCTGGCCCGGATGTCATAGATGATGGGGTACTGGAACCAGGGGATCCTGGAGGAGAGGGAACAGACAGTTATCAGGAGGCTGCGGGGTCACTAGTGTCCCTCGCCACGTGCTTCCTGGCCTGCTCCTCCCCTTGGCGACCACAGGCCGGGGGGAACCCTCTTCTTCCTTTGGAGAACAACATGCACGTGCTGCTGCAGTTACGGGAAGCACCCACTCTCCGGGAGATGGAGTCAGGAAGGGAGAGAGCACAGCTCAATCCTGTCGCAAGTCCTACTACAGCCGCTGGCGGGTCGGCGTTCAAGGGTGAAGGGTCAGGGTCAGTCCGCTCTGCCCGCCATTACCTGAAGTGGAGGCCCTCGGCGAGAATGGTGTCCTGTTGCACGCCACCGATCCGATTAAAGAAGATGGCTCTCTGCCCGCCTTCCACTGTGGGGAGAGGGGTGGGGGTCAGGCCGGGTACGCGCTGGCCCCGGGTGGGGCGAGGGGCTCAGAGGCCGGGAGGGCCCGGGAGGGGAGGAGTCCGGGGGGGGCGGGCGGAGGTGGCTCACCGGTGAACACGGACTCGC